AAACTCAGCAGTAGCACAGAGTCTGGAATTGTGCCAGGTATATGGCATGGCAATGCTCCATGCTATTACGAATACGCTGTTATTTTTTTTTTTTAATAAATCTCTCTTAATGGTGTATTTGATTAGATGAATGACCTTGAATGTGTACGTACAAGTGTGAGATTTACTATAATGCAAAGACTAGCTAATTCCTAATTACGTTTATATTTCGTTTACAAGTCCTATTAGCGTCTCATCATCATCATCATTAACAGCCTATAAGTGGCCTCTTATTACACGGAGAAGGTTTGAGCTTCAATCTCCACGCTTGCGCAATGTGGGTTGGTATCAGCTAGTTGGCTATCAGCGTCTACCACTTCATCATCATCATCATCAACAGCCATTAAATGCCCACTGCTGAGCAAAGCCTCTTCTCACACGGAGTAGGTTTGAGCATTAATCACCACGCTTGCTCAATGCGGGTTGGCGATTTCAAACTTACAATTTTTATTATTATATTATATTATATATAATAAAAAAATTAGAAATTATAAGTCCAGGTGTCCTCACGATGTTTTCCTTCACCGTTTGTCAGTGGTGTCTAAATAATCTTTAGAAAGTACATATAACTCTGGAAAAGTCACAGTGGTACTTGCCGTTGGTAGGTTTCGAACCGGCACCCCCATTCATGAGAAACGGGCGTCTTAAACCTCCGGGCCACCACGACATCGAAGTCTACCACTTACAAAACTTTAATTCGGTTTTGCTATTGTTGATCGACGGTTCTAATACCTGAATCTATTGCAAAATCGAACTCAATTCCAAACACTGCACCGAGCACCGAGGACATCGAACAACACTACAATAGATCATTTGATTGACTTCTTCCTCACTGGTGGAATAATAATAAGTATGTTAGACTGATTGACGATTGAAAGAGTAACCAAATGATAAATGATTCCAGTTATGTCATTAATTTCACATAATAAGTGCCTGTTGCATCAATTAACGAAATACAACTAGTTTTACAAATGATTATTTAAATGCCTGTCAAAATAATAAATGACAAGAAAAATGCACGAGGCAGATCAGGTCATTTAAAACAGACCTATGTATAGTATATCTATTATATTATATTTCATCGCGAGCGCAGCGACTTTTCGAAGGTCGTCCGGACTTTAGTTCTAAGATGATAGAATTAAAATAATATTTCATTTGTTAAACACGTATCGCATCGAGTGTTTGTGTCATAAAAATTAAGTGCATAAGTGCTGAGTTTTTATTACAAAATGAAATAGTGTGATGGTGTGCTAACGTGAATCTTGGAAGTGAGGTTTGTATGGAGCTTTTAAGTTCACACTAGTTTTTTAATAGAAACTAATTTCATGAAAGTGTAACTTAATATTTTCAATAGGCTTTTAATAATACCTTATATTATATTATGTCATAAAAACAGCTTCTGAATAAAACATTATGCAATGTTATCATAACAAATAAAAGTGGACACGCCAAATACTAATAAACAATTGATAAAAAATAAAAATGTAACACTGTTGTCCTCGATTGTCCTAAGCCCGTACAACTTGCCCAATTGATGCGGCCAGTATTATTGGCTTTACACAGTGGACACTGTCCACGAAGTGTTCTATTTTTGAAACTAGAATACAATTTGGTCTATGGCATTAAATAAAAAAGGAGAAACTAAAGAGTATTTAAAGACTAATTAGTCTAATTAGTGTATATCGTGAGGAAATTAACCCTTAGAAATGTTTGAAGTGGTTTTTCGAGTGATTTTTTTATAAAGTGCTACCTTATTAAGAATTAACTAAACGAAGTGAATGTGGGAGACACTGAAAGTTTTTACGGTAAGGTTTATAAACCGTTATCTATTTATTCAGTTTTGGAAACCATGAACATGTGTTATTTATTAGCAGATAATGTACTACCTTAACCTGTAATGGGCCGGGAATGCGGATCTGAAACGCAAATCTATATTTTCAATTGTGTCTCTTATAACTAGCCAGTTTAAAGTCAGTTAAGTGGTTAAGGGACGAATAGTACCTACCTAACGCTTATTATGCCCTAAGGGCATAGTACACAGAGGTTAAATAATATTTGATTAATACACTGTGTCATAGTTCTAGTCTTGGGGATATTACTAAGAAATTTGAAAAAAAAATATATATATATATTGATCTTTCAGGAATTGAACCTGATAAATCATTAAAATGTTTCACTTTCAGCTTTTCTCATTTTAAATTCCTAGTTAATTTCGTAGGTATGTCTCACGATAATTAAAAATTAAAGATTTATTTTTTTTACACACACTAAGAACGAATTTTAATTTTGTTTCTGTTTTTATTTAGTCACAGTTAACTCATAAACTGCAGTAACGATTTAGATGAATTTTTATGCAAGTATGTATAGGTAGGCTGCGTAATAATTGTATCTACTTACTACGCAACTTAAATTACATTTATACGAATAAAAAAATGTTTTAGATACCTAATTAGAATAAGAAACAGCGTGACATGCATAAATGACTAAAAAATATTTAATCTATTGTGGCAATCAAAAAAGTATCTAAGGATATAGACATTAAGGTATTTTTCCAAGTAATCGAAGAACCCTTAACGCCTCCCTTTATGTGCCCAGAAAACTCGGTTCAAACTAGATTAAACTGGACTAGCAACTTAGAATTTTGATATCAATCGTAAAGAAACTGGTTATAATATAATTATAGAAATTAAAAAAATCTATAATGTCTTATTATGCGTGTCTAGTTTAAGGTCAGGTTTTATTAATTTAACCATCATTACAGATTTACCTATCGGTAGATTTGCACGGTTCTCACGTAAAAGACTGTTAGGTACATTAATACTTCAAAAACCTGTTAACTTTATAATAAAGACAAAACATTCTTCTCATAAAGTCAAAGGTGTTCGAGCAATATAGTTAACTAGCTATTACCCGCGGCTTCGCTCGCGTCACAAAAGGATAAAAGTAGCTTAAGTGACATATACCAATACACACAGCGCCATCTATACCAATTCTTTTGTCTTCCCTCGGGAATATCAAAATTTTCCAGGATAAAAAGTACCCTATTATTTAATCCGGACTTCTAACTTTACGTCTGCAAAAATTCAAAGCAATCGGTTTAGTAGTTACATACGGCGTGAAAGCGGAACAAACAAACAAACAAACTCACTTTCCCATTTTTATAGTAAGGATTAAAAATGTTCGATACCTACCACAAACCTGCCAGTCCCTTATAAAAGCAACTCAGTAATTTCGATCCTTTATACTCGCCAATCCGTACAAAGGCAGAATTACTGTGATCTATGGTGTGGAACGCACTGATTTCCCGCTTAAATTACCTCGGAAGTTGAGTAATAAGCACCTACAATTGGATAAGTCTGAGCACTTTAAAGCAAATATGGGTCATAAAGTGAAAAGTCCGGCAACGCACCTGTGACTCCTGTGGTGTTGCAGGTGGCCATGGGCGGCGCTGATCGCTTACCATCAGGTAATCCGTATGCTCGTTTGCCTCCTATCCATAAAAAAAAGTCATGTTACTTAATAGGTTAAAAGTTGCAAGCCTTTTGGTCTCTTTTTTATCGCATACATTTTGGTGAGTATCCAGCGCTAGGCCTTACTGTGGCCCTGGTATAGAGTAGGAGTTGGAACGAAATGGTTTTTAGTCAGTAAGAGTCTGACGTTGTAGGAGGTTGTGGCGGGCTGGCCCAAAAAACGGTCTGAAATTCCCTCGCGTCTACCTAGGGCGGGCGGGTAGAATCTTAAAAAAATATATATTTTCCTGCCTTACAAAAAAAGAGGGATTGTAATGGATTGAAGGACAACTTAAATCCTACTAAGTCCTTTTTCATTATCACTTCCCCAGATACAGCAAAGCGCCGCTTTCATGGTGTACTTATAATATATTCTACACATTTGCACGACGCGCGTTTATAAGTTTCTATAGGTAGCCAGAGTCTAGTGTTTCCAGAAAAAATTTGGTCTAAGTCATGTGAAACGATTGCTATCTATTGCCAACCTGCAGCTGTAGCCAAATGCCATTTAGCGTTTGTCTACATGTAGAATAGAAAACCAAATTATATGAATTGACGTAAATTTTGACACTTGTCAGTGTCATCCCCATACATTTTGATTTCTACTCTCTCGGTAGACAAGCGCTAAAGTGGCGTTTGGCTAAAGGCACTGGAGTTAGTTAATTAGCTACAAGTGACGTCATAAAATTGAAAATTATAGATTGTAACTAACTCTAAATCAACAACATTACTTAATAACTAAGACTTTACCATGAGGGTACTCGGGCCCATGCCCAGGGCCCCCACAAATCTTTGTATGATCCAAAATTCACAAATTATTGTTTCGGGTCTAAGTGTCATGTGTAGGTATGTGAACTAGTATTTGTAAACTCACGATACAGTCAGAAAGTCCTAGTGTGGGGCGACGTTAAAAAAAGAAACATTCCAAAAGCAGGCAGGCAAAGGCAAACAGGCCTTGAACCCAGCATTATTCTGTGCCTAAGGGTCCCAGTCCCAGCGTAGTCTAAGACGTCCCTGACTAAAACAAAAGACATTAGCAGGTAGCGTTCAAGAAAGTGTACTGGTTCCTGGGCGGTGTTAATCGGTTACCATCACCATGTGTGATGTGATGTGATGACTGCCTCGTTGGCCGAGTGGTCGTAAATTCGACTGCCGGGCAAGGGGTCTCGGGTTCGATTCCCGGGTCGGGCAAAATATTACTGGGTTTTTAAATATTCTCAGTAGTAGCACGGAGTCTGAAATTGAGCCCGGTATATGGCAATAGGCTCACCCCCTATAACATGGGACTCATAACATAAATAGTGAAAAGTGGGTGTTACATTGTACAGTGGTATAATGTGCACCTCTGCCTACCCTTTCGGGGATAAAAGGCGTGACGTTATGTGATGTCATCATGTGATCCGTATGCTTGTTTGCCATAATATTTTTTTTTTTTCAGTGAGCCGTTTCGAAATGAAGTTCCCCGCTTTCTTGGACAAAATACCGGGTCTCGGGTACAGCAAGCCCACGACACTAGTGACGAGACATGACGACTATACGGTGGGAGAAACGACTGGAGGTTTAAGTGTCCTGTTCACAATACTATGTATAGTGGACCTTTTTGGAGTATTTCCTGTGATAACCCTGCCTAAAAGCGTTATATCTTGTGGTGAGTGCAAAAATATTAGGCATTGGCTAACTTTTTCACTTCTTATATTAGGTACTTAGAAAAATTACACAAACAATATTCTTTTATAAAGTATTTTTAGATAACCGACTTCCATACCGCTTTCTTTTCTCGGTTTCCCTATGTATGTATGCACCAACAGCCTATAAATGCCCACTGCTGAGCAAAGCCTCTTCTCACACGGATATTTTTTTAGCATAAATCACCACGTTTGCTCAATGCGCGTCGACAATTTTAAATTAATAATTTGAATTTACAAGTCCAGGTTTCCGCACGATGTTATCCTTCATCGTTTATCAGTGATGTGTAAATAATCTTAGAAAGTACACATAACTCGAAAAAAGTTACATTGGTATTTGCTGTTGGTAGGTTTCGTACCGGCACCCAAAGTAAAACCTGTTGTTATTGTTTCCAGGAATATACGGATTACCGCTAGTTTTGTCCGTCTTCGGCTTGCAGCTGTACACCGCAGTTTTACTCGGGAAGAGCTGGTTACTGGCACAGAAGATAACTCCAGACATTAAAGAAAAGAACAGGTGAGACAGCTATTGGCATATACTACCTTCAAAACTGCAGAAAAACAACTTAAAAAGGCCGGCAACGTGACCGTAGACTGTAACTCGCCTGGTGTGGCGATGTTGTTTCTAATTGAGCGTCTCACTCGAATCACTTGAAGTTTGTAAGCAACCTATGACATTAGGTTTAGAATATATTTTTTTCTCATAAAGAATCACGTATACATAATTCGCTTACCTACTGAGAAACAATATTTCACACAAAAGTAAGCAATTTAGTAAGCAACAATATCCAGAAATAGTAATTTAACTCTTTGTGTACCGTTATTATAGACACAGAACAATAGGTTGCGGTCACCGGTATCCTCACGGTGTTTGACAGTTTCATAGTACCTAATCAATAGATTTCCCACTCTACTACAAAATAATAAACTTACCTCGTGATTTGTAACAAATATTTTCTCAACATCCAGATTTCCTTATGCGGCGGTAGCAGAACTAGCATTTGGCGCGCCAGCAAAGAGGCTGGTAACTTTTCTCATCGATGCTGCCGTCTTCGGTTCAGGCGTTCCGAATTTCATTATCGGTAAGTTTTAATTGGCCACTGCCAATCACACTTGTCGGTCACATTTGTCAAAGAACCGATGACCGTTGGAGTAGACGTGTTCTGGAGTGGAGACCGCGTCTAAGCAAACATTGTGAAGGGCGCCCTCCAGCTAAATGGTGTGATGATATCAGTAAAGTGGCTGGTAATGGTTGGATGCGTAGAGCGGAAGATCGAGCTCAACGGCATGCCATTGGAGTGGCCGAGAGGCCTATGTCCAGCCGTGGATGAGAACAGGCTGTTGATGGTGTTCATTAAGTGCTAAAGTAATGGAAGATTAAAACATAAAATATTGTTACCACCCACTTACCACACACTCTCTGATAAACGGATAAACCAGAAGAAACCCTAAATCTATGATTACGAAAAATCCACAACATATACAAAAGCAGTCTCGAAACATCGGTAATAAGATCTATAATGGAGGAAGAGGAGAGTTCGGTCACCGGTGATCGCTCGGCAACCCTCTAAAGTGTTTGAGATTATACCATATTATGAGAGAGGCCTTGAGCAAGCATGGTGATTAATGCTCATATTTTCTCAATGGGAACTTATAGGCTGGTGATGGATGAGACCCCTTAAACGTCATAACACACCTAACGAGAGCACGGCTCCGATACGGATCAGGCACGGCTCCGGCATGGCCCGGCACGGTGTTTTTTGCATTGGAAACAATACAAAAAAGTTTTACAGCTTTTTTACATTGACTTTATTAAATATAACATACAAAATAAGATTTAAAGTTTACATTTAAATGGCAAGTTAATTGCTGGGTTGAAGCCGTGCCGGAGCCGTGTTTATTAGGTGTGGGTTAGGTTATTCAGCAGTGGACTTCATCCGGCTGATTACATTGTGCTTTACTCTATAGGCATCTTCTTTTTTTATATATTTGATGGGGTGACGTTTGACCACTATCTCGCCTGGTGGTAAGCGATGATGCGGTCTATGATGACGTGTTCTATGCACGTCGTAATTCTACACTATTTTCTCCACGCTAGTAAGGCAAAGTTAAAAGAAAGCAATTTCAGGTTGATCATGAGCGCTGCTATCCGATCTTAGGCAGCTCTTACGACAGAATGAGCAGGGGCCTTAGTACGATTTTGTTTTACGTTAAAGTAATCGAATACAGATCAGATACAGGGAAAGTAAAGGGAACCAGATCACGAAGCAGATCACCTATGTGCTGGACTGATCAAGTCAAATCGGCAACGGGAAACCCAGTGTCAGACTGTGCCAGACAATCCACAAACAGAGAGAGATGGCGGGAGATCGTGAGGAAAGCTGTATCGGCCACCAACACAAATACGGCCGCCTCAACGCGACCACGACCGCTCTGCCAAGAGCAAAACGACAGAGAAGGGAAAAAAGAATCGACACCGCGTTCGGCGCTCTGATTGGCCGACTCGAAAGAACCAACCAATCAGAGCGCCGAACGCGGTCTCGTTTCGATTCCCTTAAATCCCCAGGCGGTCACCGGTGACCGCTCTCCACTAACTACATTATAGGCCTTATTTCCGATGCGTAGAGACTACGCATCGAAAATTACTTTTGTATGAAAAAATTTAGGGGATGACATTTCAACATAAAACAAACTCGTACTAAGCCCTCTGATTGGTTGGTTATTAGAGCCGGAGAGTTGGGTGGTGACCATAACTAATGTATTTAACAATATCGTCGACAGACCTCATTTTGCTAGCTTGAGCTACTTTAACTATATTCTCTTCAGCATCGCAGACGTTGCAAATATTCTGGTGGAAGATATCGGGCGGTGAGATCGGGATCACTTATTGCGTCTGGATGGTCATCTTGGGCTTGTTGCTATGTCCTGTGATGTGGCTCGGCTCGCCCAAGGATATGAAGTAAGTATTAGGATTATAAGACCAAATGGGCAATATATTAAAGAAGGCACAAATTAAAAGTACCCTTAATGTTGATGAAACGAAAGAGGTACGTAGTAATCGTAGCAATTGGCGTTCCATAGTTTCTGCCTAGCCCCATGAGAGACAGGCGTGGAATTATGTATGTATTTGTTCGATATCTAAATACCTCTATTTTTAAACCTTTATTTTTTCTATTTAATGATTTATATACAGCATGCATTACATACCAAATGATTTGGCTGTACACACGATACGTTGGTATTTGTTTAAACTATTTTTCTTTATTTTATCTTCTCATTTATTTTGTAAAATTATTATGTTTGTTTAATTAATTAATTTCATCTAAACTGTTATTGTCTAATTGGTTGCCTGTTCGCCTGTCACTTAAGGAGCCAGTAGAATACCAGCGCAAGGCCCTGTCTTGCACATGCTGAACTGATCCCATTTTACGGCAGACTTGGGACAAGAACATGTATCCATCAGTACCTACCTATTAATACAATGACTTTTTGTACATGCCCCTTGTTTTTTGGTGTGAAATAAATTTTTTTCTTTCTTTTTTTCTACTGAAGTACCCATAAAGCTACTTATGGGCTCATTTTTTGCAAAGCAATCTCTCAATATTGTTTCTTTTTTAGGCCAATAGCGATAACTTCAGTAATAATTGTTACCACCGTCGCACTAACTACATGGACTTGTATCCTGCGAGACGACACCTCCCCAATGCCAACGTCCAACGTGGTAGACTTAGAACCACAACTACAGGAATTCTTAATAGCATACGGCATACTTGCATTTCAGGTGAGGCATACAAATTTCCGTAAGCATATTTAACAGAGACCGGGCAGCAGCGCTTTGTAATAAATCTGATTGTTCTGAAATGCGTTCTCGGTTCTGATGGTAAGCAATGAGCGCCTTTGTACATTCGCAACACCAGAGATAAATCTGCTTTGTGAGCCTTTTGGGATCAGACATTTGCGAATTGGGCATTCAGACACAGCGAAAAACAATTCATTATTTCACGCCACTTTTCTTTAGGGTATCACTCCGGTCGAGCCGGCTTAGCATGGCTCTTCCACGTTATAATGCCTTCTTATATTTGATGGACCGACGTTTAACCACTATCTCGCCTGGTGGTAAGCGATGATGCGGTTTGCTATGGAGCACGTCGTCCCATAAGCAACCTATTCACTTGGGCCTTGAAAACACCCAGGTTATACCCTTCAGGAAATTACAGGAAAAGAATTCTATCCCACAGTAGCACAGCAGTACGCACAAGGAAGCTTGATGCGAAGCGCTTTGTGCGTGTGGGTGGGACATCTACTATGAATCAGTGATTGTCTTGTGGTACGATGATGGAAAGGGCTAGGGGGAATCAAGTTGTGTCTTTACATTTGTTTTATTTCTAGTTTGACATCCACCCAATGTTGCTGACGCTGCAAGTGGACATGAAAGACAGTAAGAAGATCAATTCTGCAGTGCTGGGGGGTTTCGGGATCACTGGGTGCATGTTTGCAATCACCACCGTCCTCTCCGCCTTCCGATATGGAACTGATCTTGACAACAATATACTGCAGAGTAAGTACCTATCTTTTGAGTTTTCTCTATGGGGTACAGCATGAAATTTATTACTTGATAGGGCGGCAGACGTGTGGACGGATTACCTTGGTAAGTAATTGGCACCAACAATGGACAACCGCACCAGCAAGAGGTACGAGTGCGTTGCCGGTCTTTTCGGAGATGGGAAGTAGGCCAGATGGCCTCCGGTTACCTCTCTGTTATACGGTGAAACACAACACAAACGTTGTTTCGCCCCAGTTTTCTACCTTTTGTTTTGTAGAGGGGGTCCATCCAGCAGTGTGGACTGTCACGAACTTATGATAAACTTTATTAAAAACCGGTAAAATATATATACGCTTTTGGACTAAACTTAACTATACATTTCGTGCAGGTATTCCGTCCTCAATACCACTGTACCTGATGTCACTGCTTGTGACTCTTCAGCTGTGCTTGTCGAGCGCAGTCAGTCACTCAGCGCTGTTCCAACATATAGAAGACTTAATGAAGATTCCTAGAGGTAAGACATTTTATATCTTGCTTTTGTACTTACACAATCTCGTTATTTTATTTCTTAAACAGATAATAGAAGTATTAATTAATTTTTGTTACAGATTTCTGCTTTCAACGCTGCCTAATAAGATCTAGCATCGTAGCTTTGGGAGTAATTCTAGCGGAATCGGTACCCCGATTCGATTTAGTTATGGGTCTCGTGGGTTCCACACTCACTGGTCCGTTAATGTTCATTTGTCCTCCCGTATTCTTCCTCAAACTGTGCTATATGAAATCCAAAATGTCTCCAAAACATAATCCTTTTTATAAACTACTCGAGAAACAAAACGGAACTCAAAACGGTAGTTCACATTCCCAAAATGGTGGCACTAAAAGCGCCAGTTTACAAAATGGTGGCACTAAAAGTGACAGTTTCCAAAATGGTGGCATTCAAAACGACAGTTCTCAAGATTCTCAAAATGGCGATCTGTCAAAAAGCCCGCTAATTTATGTCGGGTCATCGACCAAGTACAAAACGTTCACAGATTATGCTATAGACATAATAAAAGAAGAAGATGAATACGCGATCAAATGGTACGATGTTGTTTTAGCTTTAATTGTGATGACCATTGGAGTTGTAGCGACCATAGTGGCGACATATTCGAGTTGGGCGAACTCTATAGCTTATGCCACGTTTAGTCCCCCATGTTTGATGAACGCTACAGAAGCTGCCAGAAGCTTTTTGCAGCTACCTATGTCTGTATGAACATCAATAAAGAATATGTTGATAAGTATTGAGTTTTTTACTTCTTCAGTATTTTTATTATAAAAGTTACCTTTAAAACATTGTTAAGCAAGTACCAATAATTGAGGAATAACAAGTTTGCATTCTAATCATGACTCCCGCTAATTAATGACATTTTGAGATAGCGCCTCTGAGGTGTAATTTTACAAGTTCGACTGCCTGGTGCGACATAAATATTCTATTGGTCTATAGACTTGAAGCTGCAATGGCGCGGAAACTATCATTGTTTACAAATAAATAACATTAAAATACATTTCAATCATACTACATGAAGTCAAAATAAACAGTTTTGTAACAACAACCTGTAAATAGTAAGTCCTGTAAGACCTGTAAGACCAAGATATAATACTCATTAGATTAAATTGAAAAAATAAAAACGCCTTATAATTGAATTGTCTTTTATTCAACATTACAATCACAATAGATACATACCTAATTGATTATAAAAACATTTTGTCAGTCATTCAGTACAAGTTCAACTTTAATCATTTTATAGGAACAACGTAAACTAAATCGTTTTTAACCTACTATCGCTCAAAGGGATACACAGATAAATTAAAATTAGAAAACCAAGCTATTTTCCTATGCTGAGGGCCTAGTGGCAGTTTTTTCTACGGTAACGCAATAGACACGTTTTTGACGTCCGGCGCTATGATTGGCCTGCTTTGATTAACCGATCAATCATAAGGCGTCGTAACGTAAAACAAAACTAGCACTAGGCCTTTAGATAAGAAAATATAGATTGATTCAGTACAGAGACAGTCATCATTGGTCGGTTACTGAGCCATCAGCCGACCAATGGTTACAAAAGAGATGGTTTTGTTAAAAACTATACTATAGTATAAAATAGCTACTATCTCTATACAGAATCAATCTTTACTTTCATACCTGTATACTAAAAACTAACTAATTGTAGACTGCATATTAAATTTTTACAAACACTTGTATTTGTAATTACGAAAACAAATGATAAATGACAACCTCTCTCATTTGGACGTCAGTTAAAAATTATATATGAGTTATACTCGATAGTAACAATTTGAATAAAAATGCATCGCTTGTAAGTACTCTTTCCATGTCCCTGTTAAATGCAATGACATCCTTTCTTTGAAACGCCTATACAAATCTCTTGTCGTATAATCTGTGCCGTTATATTCTTAAAAAAAATATATATTATCAATGGTTTCACAAAAATTAGCACTAAAAAAGTTAAGATGTAAAAAATTACTCCAAACAATCAAAAATAATTTAAATTAAACGTAATTATTATGTTGTTTATGTTACATTAAATAATTTAGTGACATAACATCACGCCTATTATCCCCGAAAGGGTAGGCACTACTTTTCACTATTTATGTTATGAGTCCTATGTAATAGGCACGGCGGTGAGTCCATTGCTACATACCGGACACAATTCCAATTTTTTTTTTAAATCCCGCGAGACGGCGACGATCCGGCCACCGTAAGCACGGGCCGGCGGCAGACGGCGAGCACGGGTGACTCGCCGCCCGACCAGATCCAGGTCTTGTTCCGCGCGCGCCTCAAGGAGCCATTAGACCACCACAGATGGGGCCCAACAGGGCTGATGCCGATTCGGAGCCGCGGAAGACTTAACAGGTTGCCGGGGCTCCGGCTCGAAGTGCAGGAGTAGGAACGGGGTGGTTTTTAGTAAGTAAGAGTCTGACACTCCCTCTTACCTCACCCGGGCGGGAGAATACATTGGATGATTTTCCCCCACAAAAAAAACATGGGTTTTATAATATCACTGATCTCACTCAACATCATAGTGGAGGCAAACTTTTTGGTCATTAGAGGGCGCTAATGTAATTTAAGGCCAAGGACCACTGGATTTATTTTTTGAAAGTAATGGACATATTGAATTTGCTCTACTTTAGCTCCACTGGGTGAGTGTAAAAACTGCAACACATTGGCGTTACCCCTTTCCAAATTACTATTAAGAATTTACAAAAAGAACATAATATTGCTCCATCCATTAGGTTAAAACGATCAACTTAAAAATAGCCTATAAATTAATTAACAATTTTTTTAAGTAACAAAACATCATTATTATGCTTTCATTTTAAATATACTTCTAAAACTAATCTCTTAATAAAAATATAAGTATAGGATTAAAAAACCTGATTGTGCACGCTTATAGTTCATTCAAGCGATTTTAGAATCTGTTCCGTAAACATAAAAATGGTATTTGAAGCAACGGTATTGTAGTTTTACATCTTTTGTGTTGCAAACATAAAAAACAATAACGGCATCATCATGTTAAACAAATGACATAAACTAGTCAAATCGAGTGATTAAAAACGTCAATCTATGCGTTTGACTAATGGGCGAAATTCATTATAGATGTTAATCCAAAATCTGTGTATGAAGGCCAATTTTTGACAGAAACTTCAATGAAACAAGTAATTTATTTAAAAATCGCGGTTTATTCACGTGAAAATACTGAGAAAAGCTCTACTAGTTTCGAGCTACAGGCTACGGCGATGTTACGCAGCCTACTGCCTCAGTATTTTAAAGCGATAACCCGCGATCTTTAGTTAATTTAGTATGTCTCACGATACTTATTATAGAAACAAGTAATGTCAAAAATTTACACATATTCACAGATTTGACAAGGATGTTGCCGGGCGTGGTCTCTTGAAACAACGACTGTGGCACCAGTGCCTTTAGCCAAACGCCAATTTAGCGCTTGTCTACAGAGAGAGTAGAAATCAAAATGTATGGGGATGACAGTGTCAAAATTTGCGTCAATTTCATATAATTTGGTTTTCTATTCTACATGTAGACAAGCGCTAAATGACATTTGGCTACAGTTGCTTGCTATTATAGAGTTACACGCAGAACATAAACACATTGACACGAAGGACATCTGTCATTTTCGTAAGTCTGGTAACGTGGGTGACCATTACACACGCAAACATAAATAAAACCACTGACATTTTGGTGCCTCATTTCGAAGTGACATTATGTCCGCCTTGTTTATTAACGTCCTTAGATTTTGAATTGGTTATTAACACATTGGATGCCGTGTCGGATAATGATATCCATCCCTAACGGAGGATTAGCCTTTAACAGTTTTTATCGGTAGTTAAAGACTTACTTACTTGAAAATCTATACATCCGATTGACGTTTCTATCACTCTTTACCAATCAACGATCCAAAGTTCAATAAAAGACATGTTCATTTGACAAAAGTAACGCAACACAAAGAGTCTACTTCTTCGGCATAACTAATTGCTTACCAAAGGTTTGCCTTATAACTTTCTTATCCAATTTACCCATCGCGTTTCTAGGCATTTCATTCGTAACAAGCAGAGTTTTAGGTAGCTGATAGGGAGCTAGTTTCTTCCCAGCTGCTTCTTTTAACTCTTGAAGAGTTAGTTTAGCATTTTCTTTAAGTACCACCACTGCTGAAACGATTTCTCCGTAGTTTTCGTCTTCGATTCCAAGTACGGCTGCGTCGGCAATACTAGGGTGGTCTAAGATGGCGCTCTCTACTTGCAAGGCACTTACTTTGTATCCTCCCGTTTTGATTATGTCTACTGATGTGCGTCCCAATATCCTGAACTTGCCGTCTTCGAAGGATGCTGTGTCTCCTGTACGGAACCAGCCGTCTTCTGTGAAGTCTGACGCGTTTAGTGTCGGGGACCGGTTCCAGTATCTATAACAATAGTTTAGTGTACTCAGTCAGTGTCCTTTATATGTACACGTACAGAGCCTAGCAGATCAAGATACTCCATTTATTTTTATTACACTATAAAGTCGAAAGACTTTATATCAAAAGACTAAAGTTGAAAATCAAATAAATAAAGACAGAAAGGAGGATTAAGTATTTCGAGTAGAGAACGCAGTAGATAAAGTGAGATGAGAAAAATCATAACTTTTACCACTTAGCCATTTGACATTGACAATAAAATTATGTGTGTTTCACACCTGTTTAGGTAATGTTTTATTAAACACATGGCTAACGTATTTATTATACTTTCTAAAATATTTTGAGGACATAATCTATTTATTTCTCGTATATTTCAATCAATTTTTTAGGAAATATATTACTACTAGCTTTTGTCCGCGACTTCGTCTGTATATAATAATATTATATTATGGTTCCAGTTATGGTTCCAGTTTTATCTGGGAAGGAACATTTAATCAGGATAAAAAGTATCCTATCACCTAAGTCAGCCCATAAATCCGTTCAGTAGTTTCAGCGTGATTGACGGAGAAACATGCAAACAAGTAAACTTTGACATTCATAATATTACTAGCTACTTCCGCGCGGTGTCACTCGCTCTGCTCGGCGCCTACTAATAGTAGCGTGATATTTTATAGCCTATAGCCTTCCCCGATAAATGGGCTATCCAACACAGAAAGAATTTTTCAAATCGGACCAGTAGTTTCGGAGATTAGTGCATTCAAACAAACAAACAAAAAATCAAACTCTTCTGCTTTATAATATTAGTATAGATATAGTGTGAAGTGTGGTGTTATTAGACCAATAAATTTTAAAGAAATATGGATACTAATTGACGTAAAAACTATGACATTATAATTTAGAAGCAATCTTGTACAAAATTCATAGAAAAAGTCATGGAAATCAAGTTGGAATCGCGGGTCGAAATGTATTAATATTTAATCTTTTGATTATGTCATACATGCACGAAAAATGGATCGAAAAAACACAAATACGGACAAAAATCTGTTATTTTCATATTGTTGGTATAGATATTGGTAGAACCAATAAAAACAAAGAACACAAAGGAAAGGTAGACTAGGAAATAGTGAGAATGTGGTAAGCAGTGGAGTATATTTAGAAGTATCGAACGCCGAGTGACGTGGGACGTACTCCTGCGTCAGTATACGCTAGCCAAGGTAACGCATCCGTACGTACGTCAGCACTCACTTATTGTATACTTCCCTTTTATACAAATAGCTTATAAAATTCTTGTCATATTCGACTTTATGTTCCTCATGTTCATGATCATATAACGTGAATTTTTCTTCTTCAGACTTACAAAAAACCATTCTTCCCAATGTCCCTAACTCCATATACTCAAATATTATATATATTGCCCAAACTGCAACGCACTTGAATGGGTGGCGCCTATTGCTTACCATGAGATGATCCGTATGTTTATTGGCCGGCTTATCCCTAAAAAATGGGCCTGCGGACGGCGAGCATGGGTGACCCGAGCGTACGGCGCGTCGCGTTCCACGCGCGCCTCAAAGAGGCAACAGACCACAACGGATGGGGCCCAACAGGGCTGATGCCGATTCGGAGTCGCGGAGAACCTAACGGGTTACCGGGGCTCCGGCTCGAAACGCAGGAGAAGGAACGGGTGTTTTTTATAGTCAGTAAGAGTATGACACTCCCTCCCGCCTCACCCAGGCGGGAGCAGTCATTAGATGATTTCCCCCCTTAAAAAAATCCCTAAAAAATAATTCGAGAGATGGAATACAGAACTTTACTCTCATCAAATGTGTAAACAACCCACAGACCAATAGGGAAGTCGGAAATGACAGATGACTATAGTCTAAAATTAGTTTTTATCGTACACTGAACTGTACGTCATAGTCATAGAAAACGGCTTCACCTTGACTGATTGCGCAGGCGCCGCCGAATTAGCATTACAAATATATAAACATAATTAAATGCAATCTAAAACTGTAAGACTGGTTTTTTTTAATATTATTCTGCCATATTGTTTACTAACGTTATTTTTTTATTGATTATTTACTGTGGCGATTAGAAAGTAGCTCGGTAGAAGTAGATTTTTATTAATTATATTATATTATTATACCTTGTGTATTTTACAACTGAAATATTAGATTTTATTAATATGCATATGTGAGCACCATGTGTTTTTTTATTTTAGTAAGTTCTGTATTTTGTATTATGCGTCAAGCCTGTCTTTACATTGTTCTCGCATATATGTAGGTACCATATTGGATAATGTATCAGAGAGATTATAAAACATATTTTATTTAAAAAATAACAAATGGAGTCTCTTTCTCGTACTTTTCCATTCGAATCTACATTTTGGGACGACCACCTAGCGTCACTGAAGGATAGATTGACAGATTATTATTTATTTTGTATTTGTTGACGTTTCAAAAATACCAATTTTTGTAACTTAATGTATTCTGTGAAAGAGTTGAATTTTGATTAATCTTGCACAAAGAATTGAATTTATATAAAACTAGCTTTTACCCGCGGCTTCGCTCGCGTCAAAAAAGATTTAAAAGTAGCCTATGTGACTTAAACCAATACATACAGCGCCATCTATACCAATACTTTTGTTTTCCTTCGGGAATATCAATCATTTTCCGGGATAAGAAGTACCTTATTATTTAATCCAGACTTCTAACTTTACGTCTGCAAAAATTCAAAGCAATTGGTTTAGTAGTTACGGCGTGAAATCGGAACAAACAAACAAACTCACTTTCCGATTTATAATAAGGATAAGTTGGTTATAGGACATCGGGTCACTAAACATGCTTCGTTCGTCTATTATAGTACCTTTTTTGAAGGTTACACCCTAGCTTTTTAGGGATAAAAGACGAGGGAGTGTGGGATTTATATCTTACTAAAACCACCCCGGTGGCCACCTTCAACATCTGCATGGAGGCACCGGGTCCTCTAATAGAGATCTGCTCCGAAGCCTACACAATGCAACGCCTGTTACGACAAATCCCTAGGGAGACGGGTGTTCGGAGTCGCGGAGAACCTAACGGGTAACCGGGGCTCCGGCTCGACGTGCAGGAGAAGGAACGGGGTGGTTTTTAGTCAGTAAGAGTCTGACACTCCCTCCCGCCTCACCCAGGCGGGAACAGCCATTCGATGATTTTCCCCCCTTAAGAAAAAAAAGGGAGACGGGTGTCTCCATTAAGCCTTGCTGTTTACGACGGCACGTAACCACTGGGCCACCGTTTTCCCCGAGACCACAGAGTGCGCACCTAGAGCTCTACGCACCCGTAGCCCCAAACTAGAGGTGTTATAGTACCTACAATCGCAAAATATCCTCAATGCCAGAAGGTTATAACTTATTGAATGCAATTATATTGTGTCCTAAAACTGTTTTTTTTATAACTTCATAGGTCGGCCTTTGATAATCGTCACCGGGGGATCGCAGCAGTTTTCTCAACATTTTCCGGACCCTAACTAAGTTACTAATCCCCAAATCGCTTACCAAGTATGGAGATTATGCATATATTCTTTAAGATCGATGCCTTGGTTCAATGGAAATATTTCGATTGATGATAGTTGTTGAATGAACGGAAATTTGAATGGATTAGCATAATAGTACTATCATTGACGTAATAAATAATCGACGGTAAAAATAGTATCAATAATAATTAATGAGATTAATAGATGCTGACGCCACGGAAATAATTATATTGTAGTATTAACATTTTAGGGATCGGAGAGTAGAGATTCCTAAGATCTGAAAAGGAGGATTCTCCAACCAGGCGGCTGGCGGGCTTTCTGCCCGACAGTTGTTCGTTGGGATTTTCCGTTCATGTTAATCCACATGTGCGATGTACGATTTTGTGACGTCATCCGTTGAATTTTATTTCTTCGATAGTCTTTGTGCGTGAGCTGTCATTTGATTGACACATGCCATGTGTCACCACAACATAACATAACAGCATTATGCATGCTCCGACCGAATATCAATTTCGGGATCCCGTGCTTCAGCATTGTCAGACAGGACAGATCTGATGGTTATGGAGGTTGTGCTTTGTTAGTTAACAACAAAGTACCCTTCACCCAGATTCCTTTACCCTTCGTCGGCGATGACATAAATGTTGTCGCTGTTAAGGCTGAGGATATAAATTTTTTTATGTTTTATATTGCGCACCCTCTTGTTACTCATTTGGCTTTAATTAAAAATTTATTAATGTCAGTAAGTGGTCCATTATTCGTAATGGGTGACTTCAACTGTCATCATTATAGATGGGGTTCGGATTTATGCGACAACATGGGCAGCAAGTTCGTTGAAATGATGGATGAGCTCAACCTATGTAATATTAATGACGGCAGCCCGACCCGTAGATCTGCATTTGGACAAAGAAGCAGTTGTGTGGACTTAACCTTCTGCTCATCTAATATGGCAAGCATGCTGAACTGGAGCTGTTTGAATATGACTTATGGTAGCGATCACTATCCCATCATAATCAAAAATCCTTCCAAATCCACTCCTGATAAATCCCTCCCCCCTCTATTAAAATATCGATTAGAAAAAGCAGATTGGGACCTGTATTCAAAATTATTAGACTTCCGCATTTCTTCTCTCCCACCCATTGATAACCAGAATGCTTTGGAGTGTTTTTCAAAGTTTTCTGAGTTGATAGCTTCCACAGCTGAAGATTGCTTCCCAGTGAAAAGCACACCAAAAGGCAAAATCCCTTCCCCTCCTTGGTGGGATAGTGAATGTACTGCCATGATAAGAGCCAGGAATGAGGCTGAAAAGGCATATAACCACGACATGAGCCTGGAAAATCTCCTTAATTTCAAGCAGATATTGGCTAGGTCAAGAAAACTGTTTAAAAAGAAGAAGAGACAGGGGTGGCAGAGATTCTGTGGTTCCCTAAGCCCGTCCACGCCGGTGGCAGCAGTGTGGCGGAGAGTGAAGAGCTTCAGAAATTCTTCGAAGCCTCCTTCAATTTCCATTTTGCCTGAAGGTCTGAGCCACAATTTCTTCACCAACATTGCTCCACTGTATGTCCCTGGCGAGGATGAATGTTGTCCGGGTCAACATGAGGATTCACGAGACCCACTCGATAAAAATTTCACCATCGATGAGCTCCAAATGGTCCTTAATCATGTAAAGGATTCCGCACCAGGCATTGGTGGGTTTCCTTACTCCTTCTTGGTTAAAGCAGGAGCCAAAACCAAGCAGTACTACCTTGACTTAGTCAATTTCTGTTTTACTTTCGGCTATATTCCTCCTCTCTGGAAGGTTCAGGTTATCATGCCGCTGTTAAAAGCTGGCAAGGATCCTGGTGACCATTCGTCTTACAGACCTATTGCCCTATCGTCCATACTTATCAAAATCCTTGAACACCTAATAAAGACCCGGTTGGAATGGTCGATGGAAAGCCGGGGGCTGTTCCCGGCGGCTTAGTTCGGCTTCAGGAAAGGTCTGGGTACGGCTGATAGTGTGGGTACCCTCACGTCAGCCATCCGACTGGCCCTTAGCAGGAATGAGTCGTTGGTGGCGGTCTTTCTGGACGTCTCGTCGGCCTATGACTCTGTCCTCCTACCCCTTCTCAGGCAGAAATTGCAGGAGCTGAGAATCCCGAGTAGGATTTGCCAAATTATAGGCTGCATCCTTTCCAACCGTACCCTCCAACTGAGAACTCCTGAGGATGACCCTACACAGAGAACCGCCTGGAGGGGTTTACCTCAGGGGTCAGTCCTTAGTCCCATCCTATTTAATATCTATACCCACTCCCTTCTTGTCTAAATTATGATTGCAAAGTCCTCCAGTATGCTGACGATATCGCATTAATGGTCACTAGCTGCTCTATAACAGACGCTACCGCCTCCATGAATGTCTCTTTGACCTCATTATACCAATGGCTTCTTAGTCATGGGTTATCTTTAAGCGCCCCAAAAAGCTCAGCTGTCATCTTTTCACGCAGACGGCGCCTTCCGGACACTCTTATAGAGATAGACGGCCAACCTATTCCAGTTGGGAGGAAGGCTAGGTTCCTGGGCGTTATCCTCGATTCTAGGATGTCGGGGGTCGATCATGTGGAAACAGTAGTTAGAAGGTGCGAACGGTCAGTATGTGTACTCAGAGCATTAGCTGGGGTATGGTGGGGTGCTCACCCCTACACATTAAAGCTCATATATAATGCGTTGGTCAGAAGTGTGATAGACTATTGCTGCTTCCTTATGGCACCTTGCAATAAGGAAGCACTTAAAAAGCTAGATTCCATTCAGGCCAAATGCCTAAGAATAATTATTGGAGCTATGAAGTCATCCCCCATAAACGCTCTCCAGGTTGAATGTGCAGAACCCCCCTTTGACCTTCGAAGACAATACCTGGCAGACCGTTTCGTTTCTAAAGTCCTTACCCGCTCTTCTCATCCCCTCCTTCCTATCCTTGAGCAAATCCACAGTTCTTATGACTCCTCTCCATATTGGAATAATAAACCTGTCCCACCTGTGATTGCTAGGTATAGGGAGCTTAAAAACCTCTCTGCACCTATCAGTCAATTCCTTCTCCCGGTTTTTTCTTCCGCATACGAGGTCATTCACTTTAGGCCAAAGCTAGTTCTGGGGTTGGGCATTTCAAAGACATCAGTGGACGCTAAAGGTGATTTTGAACGCGCGCTGAGCAATTACTGGAACGGCTGGAATGTGTTTTACACGGACGCATCCAAATTGACCCGAAACGGATGCACAGGAGTGGCAACATATTACCAGAACTCAAGAATTGCTCTGCTCTCCAAGTGTCCCCCTGAAGCCTCTGTCTTCACTGGGGAATGTGTCGGCATTCTGGAGTCCATTAAATTTATTGAATCGCACAACCTCAGAAACTCAGTTATTTTCTCAGACTCTCTAAGTAGTTTACAGGCGCTCGGTCAAGACCAGCTTTATTCCCGGACTCATAGTAGTCTGATAATTCAGATAAAATCTTTACTTTTCTCCTGCCAAAACGACGGACTAAATATCGAGATCGCCTGGATCCCTGGCCACTCTGGTATATGCGGTAACGAGTGTGCTGACAGATTGGCAAAGTTTGCGGCCGTGAATAATGTTGAACGTCACCACTACATTGTGTATGGGTATGACATACGTGCGGATACCAAACTCAAGCTTTTCGACTCGTGGGCTGCAGTGTGGGTGGACTCCTCCAAGCGTAAAGGAGCTTACTTTGCAAGTATCCAGCCCGACATCCGGCGGAAACCTTGGTTTTCCAAGTATAAGAAGCTTCCCAGACAAACTATTTCGTCCTTGTGCAGACTCAGACTCGGCCACTGTACTAGTCCGGTATTCCTTGCCAAGATCCGTGTACGTGACAGCTCGCTGTGCGAATGTGGTCTCGATGAGGGAACCCTAGACCACATATTTTTCTCTTGCCCCCTAAATTCCCAATCCTTCGATTTATATGGAAACCTTCCCAAAATCCAAATCCCTCTTCCAATCAACTTCCACTCCCTCCTAACAAATTTTTCTCCCAAATTAATTAAGTGCTTGTCCAAATTTATTAAAGAAAATTGTATTAAAATATAACGTTACTAACAACTACCAGAAAGTTAAAGTTCGACGGTGCATTAACTGCCGTCACCACTCGACACTGGCAGTATAGTCGACAACATCGTATTGGAGACTCAGTTGCCAAAGAAAAAGAAAAAAAAAAAAAAAGCATTATGCATACAGCTCTTCTAAGGGGTAAGAGGATGCTTCCTTAAATCCCTAACTTTTTAAGATCAAGAGTCCCAATGACTTTGAAATAATAAAAGACACGTTAAATACATTTCTTATACCTTTAGACCTACTGTCTGTCGCGGAGAACCTAACGGGTAACCGGGGCTCCGGCTCGACGTGCAGGAGAAGGAACGGGGTGGTTTTTAGTCAGTAAGAGTCTGACACTCCCTCCCGCCTCGCCCAGGCGGGAGCAGTCATTCGATGATTTTCCCCCCTTAAAAAAAATACCTACTGTCTGTGTCTACAACGCGATAGTGATGAATGCATGCAACCTACAAATGATTATAGCCTACCGATACCTTGCCGTTTTGTGGACAGTTTTCATTGTCACTAATTAGACGCAAGGATCTGTGATTGTAGGCCGCCTATTGTCATTTGCAGGTTGCATGCATTCGGATGCATGACGCATCTTGGACAACAAGCCTTAAGCTTACCGCGGTTACCGTAAAAGCTAGAAAGCCAAGCGCCAAGAATAAACACATTTGACTAAGATGCGACAGCGGTAACCTCAATCTACAGTAGATTTAAGTGTGGGAAAGCTATGCTTCAGCACGAATGGACCGGCTCGACCGGAGTGATACCACAGCCTTACAGAAAGCCCAAGTTAAGCAACGCTTGCGTTGTGTTTCGTCGTGTGAGTGAGGTTACCGGAGGCCCAGCTCCCTCCCCCCCTTCTCCAATCTCCCCAATCCCTGAATCCCCAACAATCCTCAAACTCCTAATCCCCAAAAGGCCGGTAACGCACTTTTAACGCTTCTAGTGTTCCAGGTGTCCATGGGCGACGCCGATTGCTTACCATCAGGTGATCCGTCTGCTCGTTTACGGCATATGCCATAAAAAAAAGATTATGGCAAACCCTCTTATGTAGACGAGGTCTATAATCCAGCAGTGGACCATTACAGGTTGCTGATAATGGTTTTGAAATCAAACACTATTCATGTAATGTATATTTGAAAAAAAAACCTTATTTGTATAAAAGGGAAGTATACACTAAGTTAGTGCTGACGTACGTACGGATGCGTTACCTTGGCTAGCGTATACTGACGCAGAGTACGTCACACGTTACTCGGCGTTCGATACTTCTAATTATACTTTACTGCTTACCACATTCTCACTATTTCCTAGTCTACCTATCCTTTGTGTTCTTTGTTTTTTTATTGGTCTACCAATGTATGTATCAAAAATATAGGTTTTAAACGGGGTTCTTGTCAGTATCTGTTTTATATGTGTCATCTATATTGTGAAAGCATTTGTAAAATATTAATTTTCAATAAATGAATTTTATTATTCCATGGTTTATTGAATATAAATATAATAAGAATTTATCTTAATTGAAATATGGCTGATTCTCGTGACCTTTTCGAGACAAGCTCTACTAGTTTCAAGTCAAACCAGGACTCATATAGAGAACCGGAGGTCATTCGGTGACTCAAACCAGCGAGCACAAAACTATGTCATTATGGAGAATAACGAGGAAAAAAGTATATCTATGCTAAACTACACTTTAGAACGAGCAAACAGCGTCACTAAAAAACAGAAATATTTTATTTTGTTTGTCATTCAAAATGCCTTTTTCTATATTAACCTATTGAAAAAAACAACCATTTGAAAATTGTTGAAAATCATCCCCTAAATTTGTTCATACAAAAGTAGTCTCTAAGCATTGGAAATAAGGTCTATAATTTAGTCAGAGGCAAGCGGTCACCGATGACCGCTTGAGGATATACGAATTCTGGTTTGAATCCAAACTCCGATCTCTGCTGATAATGATGAAGTTAATTTACCTGCCTCGTTGGCCGAGTGGTCGCAAGTGCGACTGTCGGGCAAGAGGTCTCGGGTTCAATTCCCGGGTCGGGCAAAGTATTACTGGGTTTTAAAAAACTCCGAGTCTGGAATTATGCCCGGTATATGGCAATAGGATCGCCCCCTATTACATGGGACTAAAAACATAAATAGTGAAAAGTGGGTGTTTCATTGTAGAGTGGCATTAAGTGCCATAATGTGCACCTCTGCCTACCCCTTCGGGGATAAAAGGCGTGATGTTATGTATGTATCCAAACCAGTAGTTTTTCTCGCAGTTATATGTTCCGTGAATTTAGTATGTAAATCCCAAGATAGTTATTACACAAAAAGGTACTTACCTAGTGAATACAGCGGGTCCCTTTATGAGCAGTTCTCCATGGTACACATTTTCGGTAAGTTCCTTGTGTTTAGTGATTGTTGGGGCCTTCCACTCGTACTTGTCAGAGTCCAAGAAAAAATCCTTTGATGACAACCCGAGACGGTCCAGGCATATCTAAGAATAAATTATAGCGTTAATAACACGGGTCTAAAGTGGCAATGGGCCAGGCAGGCCACGTCGCTCGAAGGACTGACGGCAGATGGGCCAGGAAAGTCCTTAAGTGGAGACCACGGACCGGAAGACGAAGCGTGGGCAGGCGTCCCGGTAGGTGGACCGACGACATCGCCAGAGTTGCGGGGAGCCAGTGGATGCGGGTGGCGAGTTGTCGTTCGACGTGGAGGGCTAAGGGGGAGGCCTTTGTCCAGCAGTGGACGTCTTCTGGCTGTTGATGATGATAAATAACACGGGTCTAATCCAATAATTTCATCGAAATCGAAAAGTAAACCTATATAGTAATTATTTTATGATATGGCTAACTTCTGCACGTAACTTCGTACCCGCAGTCCCGTTTTTTTTTCGATAAAACGTAAAAATAAGTATTAGTTAAAAAGTCTCCTATGTCCTGGTTTTTAGCTAAATACCTCCCCACCAATTTTCATCCAAATCAATTGATTTTTTTATGGCTTTATATAAGCTGGTAAACGAGCGGACGGATCACCTGATGGTAAGCAATCGCCGTCCTGGAACACCAAGGCGCGTTACAAGTGAGTTATCGGCCTTTTAGGAATTGGGAATTTGAGGGAACTTATATCATCAAACCAGAGAACGAAATGTTTTTTTTTTATATTTTATTGTATCATCGTCATCATCATCAACAACAGCCTATAAATGCCCACTGCTTGGCAAAACCTCTTCTCACACGGAGAAGGTTTGACCATGAATCACTACGCTTGCTCAATGCAGATGGGCGATTTTTATTTTACAATTAATTTTATTACGTGAATATACTGAGAAAAGCTCTACTAGTTACGACCCACAGCTAGTAGAAACTAGTAAAACTTTTCTCAGTATATTCACATGCGTAACCCGCGATTTTACTTAATTTAGTATGTCTCACGATAGTTATTATTAATTTTATTGTAAAATTAAAAGTAAATATTAATAACTATGTATAAATAAACTTACATAATAATATTAATTACAAAAAAATATACATTGCATACCTGTGTCTCTGGTACCGGAGTCTCAACAGTTACCAAAGGCTCAAGTTCCCCGGTGTCCTCTCGTTGTGAGACTATTCTCGCAGAGACTCCCGGTAGGGGGAGCCCTACGCACCCTACACTGCGAGCCTCCACCGGCCGGTAGGGGTTACTTAACGCCATACCCACTTCAGACATACCAAATCTTTCCAGAAGACGCATGCCAGATATCTAGGATAAAAAATCTGATATTAGTATTTTATAATTATAAAATGCTTAAAATTAGCAAAGGATTGTGAAAAATTAAAAATAATTATAAATGACGTATTCTAAGTTGACATTTTCATTTCAAATTAGGTGACCCGGCAAACTTATTACTAAAAACATATTACATATTGCCTAAAAATTTTTTTCATACCTTTTAAACCTACCCTGGACTTACAAGGCCTACTGACTTATCTACGGACATTTCAAGAGCAAAATTGGCGAAATCGGTTTAGCCGTTCTCGAGTTTTAGCGGGACTAACGAAAATAATTTTTATTTATAGATAGATATAAAAATAAAGATATATTTATTTAGTAAAACATGACTAATTACAATGAAGGTGTTTTTTTGGTTAGTACAGAGTCTACATGTTTTGCCATTTATGGCGTACTAAATCAATCGCTTTAGGCAGATAATACCAATCTACAATCAATTAATACAAAATCAAATGTCAAACTTTCAATAAACAAAAACAATTATAATGTAAATGAATAACAATAAAAATCATAATTCAAAAACCACAAGTACACAAAATATGTCAAAAATAATAAACAAGAGAGACGAAGTACTTAAAATAATATTTTATGTAGTTAAGAGTTTGTTTGTTTGAACGCGCTAATCTCAGGAACTACTGGTTCGATTTGAAAAATTATTTTTGTGTTGAATAGCCCATTTAGTGAAGAAGCCTATAGGCTATAAAACATCACGCTACAAGCGACACATTGCGCCATATTTGTCTCTCACGCAGGACACCCCGTAACTGTAATAGTGTGTTGTGTATCTTACTGTGTATTAAACTTCATATGTATAGACCTTATTTCCAACATTTAGAGACTACTTTTGTATGAACAAATTTAGGGGATGATTTTCAACGGATGTTAGTATATAAGATTAAAAAAAAATAACTTAAAACTAACCTCCTCCCATTTCAAAAACAGTTGCGCCGGTAACGGAGCAGACCCAGCACACATGAGTCTCATTCTACTGCCTAGCGTAGTACGAACGTACTCCGCAGTCTTCGAGTCAGAGAACATTCTGTCATAGTCAGCGACCAGCCTCGCGTACATAGCAGGGACGCCGTGGAAGACTGTTACTTTGGTCTCATCCCGCTCCCCCATGCCCAGTAGACGAGACCAGACGTTGTGAGACACGAAAGACGGTAGCATTCTGAGCCTGTTGAATTAAAAAAAATATATTATTATGACAATTGCATAAAACAATTTTGAATGGACGTGTACTGAGTGCCAAGCACGAATAACTATCGCATTCGTAACGTAATAGTATCGAGCGCGTTCGGCGCTCTGATTGGCCGGCTTAAGTGAACCAACCAATCAGAACAAGTTCTGGATTCAATATTCATTGTGAAATGTCAATTTGAACTCTCGAAGTGAGCTCCATAGCGGTCCGACATGGCGTCGTGGTCGTGAGACTCGACCAATTTTTTTTTTTTTATAGTGGAAAATCATCGAATGTCTTCTCCCGCCTGGGTGAGGCGCGAGGGAGCATCAGACTCTTACTGACTAAAAACCATCCCGTTCCGACAAAATTCAAAAAATACGTGTCTAATATTTTTTCATTAGTTAACTGACGGACTGAATAGATTTTTAATTTTTATACCCTGTCATCATCCCTATTGCGATTATCTTTTACTAACATTCCGCCCGCGATTTATTTTTTCATTCATTCGAGATCATTGAGGTCGTCAGCAAATCAGAGATTGGAGATGGCCCAGCATTCCTCAAAATTTTACAGCAAATCATTCAAGTATTTCAATCGTACAAGCTGTTAGGTTGTGGAATGCACTGCCAGTGTCGATAAGACAACTTCAGTCGTTGGCTGCGTTTAAGGAGCAAGTTAAGAAGCACTACCTCTCTTCTCTATAATGTCATCATCAAACTGTTTCCTTTTATGTCCATAATTATGGTATATTTAAGCGTAAGTGTGTACGTATGTATGTACATATGTTTGTATGTGTGTATGTATGTGTATGTATATATTATTACTACTTTATTTATTTATTTTCTTATTACACAACCCGTCTAAATAATTCTTTTCATTATATCCACCCAAAGGTTGTCTGGTAGAAATCACTATAAGTGATAAGACCGCCTTTGTGCCCATTATTATTTTATTTATGTTTGTCATTTCCTTTTCTGTATGTACTATATTATTAACTAGCTTTTACCCGCGGCTTCGCTCGCGTCACAAAAGGATAAAAAGTAGCCTATGTGACATATACCAATACACACAGCGCCACCTATACCAATAATTTCGTTTTCCCTCGAGAATATAAAATTTTTGTGGGATAAAAAGTACGCTATTATTTAATCCAGACTTCTAACTTCACATCTGCAAAAATTCAAAGCAATCGGTTTAGTAGTTACGGCGTGAACGTGGAACAAACAAACTCACTTTCCGATTTATAATATTAGTAAGGAAGTAAGGATGGTGTACAATAAAGTTGTATTCTATTCTATTTACCTGGCACCAGCAGCCAAAGACGCTAGCATAGAGTTGAGCTGTCCATGTATGTGATGTAAGGGCAACGTGTGTAACACCACATCGTTGGCTGAGTACTGCCACGCGGAGTGTAACGCTGATATTTGTGTCTGAAGCATACTGTGGGTCCATACTACTCCTTTCGGCTTGCTTGTTGTTCCTATTCAACAAATTGTATTAGAAAAATGCATTTTTTCGTACATTATAAGGCAAAGTAAAATAATATAGATATACGGCGTACACAATGTCGTGAACCATTCGTGAAATTCTCATTTATTACATAGTCCAAAAGTATGTAGCGGGAGTAAAAGATGAACCAGATTTTTTATTTTTCGTGTGGTTTGGTCGGGTGGCATGGGGTATGGTATGGTGGTATTACATAGGACTGATGGAGCTTATATGCTAACTGGTGAAAATTCGGTTTTACATTGTAGGTATACATTTATCGTATTTTTTTTAACGTTGCCCCACTCTAGGATTTTCTCCTGTGTCGTGGTTGCGTACACACATACAAGTCCACATAAATCTGACACCCAGACCCGAAACAACAATTTATGGATCACACAAAGAGTTGCTCCATGCGGGAATCTAACCCGCGACACGTTGCGCGGCAGCCGGTTGCCTAACCACAGCACCAACTGTGCTGTCTCTTTCCAAATCTTTTATTTATTAAAAATCATGACATTTTTTATGGCATAAGCCGTCGCCCATGGACACCTGAAACACCAGAGGCGTTACAAGTGCGTTACCGGCCTTTTGGGGATTAGAAGTTTGAAGATCGTTGGAGATCCAGGAATTGAGGAGATTGGGGATGGGGAGGGTAATTGGGCCTCCGGTAACCTCACTCACACGACGAAACACAACGCGAGCGTTGCTTCGCGTCGATTTTCTGTGAGATCGTGGTATCACTCCGGTCGAGCCGGCCAATTCGTGCCGAAGCATGGCTCTCCCACACTTAAAACCACATTATCCTATTACATAGAGTGTTGACTTACCACTAGTATAAATAATGAGAGCTTCATTGTTCCCGTACCACTCATTACTTTTTCCGACATCAGTCAAATTATTCTCGGCCTTTGGTTTCAAGAATGACGTATTGGGCTGGTACAATTGTGCAGTCAGGACATTATCTCTACCCATTACCAATAGTGGTTTGTGCATCTCTAGAGTTATGGGCCGTAGAACTTTCTCGAATTCTTGTGTACATAGTACTAAGCTTGAATAACTGTCTGTTAGATAGTACTTCAACATTTCTGGGGGATGTAGTGGTGTTAGGGGTACCGCTGGAAGAGAAAAATACAATTAATAAATTAATATAAGATGTAGGCTACTACCAAAAATAATACATCTTCTTATTAATATTATTATAAGCTAGCTGCGACTTCGTCCGCCTAGAATATGATACCTGTTTTATCTCATAGGAGCATTTACTCGGCATAAAATGTATCCTATCACCTAAGTCAGCGTATGCCTGTATACCAAATTTCATCAAAATCCGTTCAGTAGTTTCAGCGTGATTGACGGACAAATATCTAAACAGAAACTTTCACAAGACTATGGCACCTGCCGAAACAATGTAATAATATAAACACGTAAAAATTATTAGTATTATATTGCCTCGTTGGTCAAGTGGTCGCAAGTGAGACTTTCAAACCCTACATCTCAAGTTCGTCAGATTATAACATAACATGACGCCTTTTATCCCCGAAGGGGTAGGCAGAGGTGTACCACAAGTAACACCCACTTTTCGCTATTTATGTTATGACCCGGGTATCGAACCCGAGACCCCTTGCCTGGCAGTCGCACTTGCCACCACTCGGCCAACGTTAGAATATTATTCGGAAAGACAGTTTTTTGTATTAGGTATAAAAACTTCTTGGACAACCCAATCTAACAAGCATACGATAATTTGGCGTCCACGAAAATGCGAATTAACACATTACTGTTAAAATATTTTTATAGCAGGTTTAAGGAGAAACTCATATATCTTATAATTTTAACAGTATCATTATTGTCCTGCATATCCACTTGAATGTATAAACAAAATTCGTTCAAATCAGTTCAGCCGCATGCAGCGCCATCTGCCGGGGTGATTTGTGAATCTAAACCATCCAGGGCGCCACTCAAACGCATACAGAAAATTTCATTTAAATCGTTCATGCCGTTTAAAGAGGAGTTCAATCACATACACACGTACAGGAGAATTATATGTATAAAGATAAAAGAAAGTCGTGTTAATTACACTATTTATATCTCAAGAAGGCTAAATCGATCGATGAAAATTGGTGGAAGTAGCTTACAACAAGGACACAGACATAGAATACAATACTTTTTTTAGTTTTTAGCGAAAATAACGAACGGGAAATATCGGATTTACGCGTACAAAGTCGCGGGCAGAAGCTAGTTATTTAAAAAAATTACCTTTATTAAAGCATTACCTAGCTTTTCAAGCATTTGTTTTCTATTTGTTGAAATAAATGCTTTCACTTTTCTTTGCATTTAGGTTTCTGTTTATATTGAAAATGAGTAGCGTTTGAGTACTCTAAAAAAACATTACTGTAAGTTCTTTGTTAAAATACAGAGATACCACAATATTTAATAAAATTTCTTAAACGTTGCTCCACACTTGGATTTTCTCCTGTGTCGTGGATACGTTTACACACATACAAGTGTATGCGACACATGACACCCAGACTCGGAACAACAGTTTGTGGATCACACTAAGAGTTGTTCAGCCGGTCTATGGGCGTCTACCCAAGAGAGGGTTTGTCATAATCGCCAGCCTTAGCAGTCGGTAAATATATAACTCACCGATATTCCCAGTCATCCAAATAGCCCACTGCGCGATGACGTGCGACGCATCATTGTTGCACATGTATGCAATTGTTCTGTCTGATTCGCCAACTGAAAGGGACAAAAAATAAAGTTATTGAGAGTAAACACATGTAGGAGAAACAGTAATTATTTCTCGCTTTCATACTCTTTCTTACCCACTTATGTTCTTCAAAAGAATAGTAGGTAAAAAGAAGAAGCCCGAAAAGAATTACAGACTGCCTCATTGGTTGATTGATCTCAAGTGCGACTGCCGGGCAAGAGGTCTCGGGTTCGATTACCGGGTCGGGCATAGTATTACTGGGTTTTTTAAAAAGATCTCATTAGTAGCACGGAGTCTGGATTTGTGCCCGGTATATGGCAATGGGACTCGTACCATAAATAGTGAAAAGTGGGTGTTACATTGTACAGTGGCATTTAGTGCCGTAATGTGGTGTGATGTTATGTAAAATTTCAAGAAGATCAACAATTATACAATCTTATTTTCACATTGTAATACATATTAGGGCGAAGTTCCATTTGTCTGTTGCGCAGCGATGCGTCGTCGCAGCGTCGATTTCCATATATCTTTTTATGTCAAGCCCCATTACACAACGCAGTGCAACTGTGCAACGGGCAAATGGGGCCTCGCTCTGAGTTGAGATTATTTATTAACTTACCCAACTGCGCAGCGATCTCCTGTGACAGCACAGACGCTGCTTGGTAGAGGCCAGCGTACGTGTATATGCCAAGCTCATCTTGTAAGGCTACCCGCGTCGGGAACAATAAGGCTCTGCGAAATACTGGTACTGCACCACCTGCAAAATAAAAATAAATTGTAAAATGAGGACTGTGATGGACTATATTTTTCATAGCATAGGGGTGATGAGCAGACAGATCAACTGATGGTAAGCAATTGACGCTGCTTCAAGACACTCGCAATCCCAAATTGTCAAATCCCTAGTTGTGGCCAAAGCATACTACACAAATACCAGGACAGACTGACAGACTATTATTTATTTTGTACTAGCTTTTACCCGCGGTTTCGCTCGCGTCACAAAAAGATAAAAAGTAGCCTATGTGACATATACCAATACATACAGCACCATCTATACCAATTTTTTTGTTTTCCCTCGGGAATGTCAAATTTTTTCGGGATAAAAAGTACCCTATTATTTAATCCAGACTACTAACTTTACGTCTGCAAAAATTCAATGCAATCGGTTTAGTACTTACGGCGTGAAGTCGAAACAAACAAACAAACTCACTTTCCGATTTATAATATTATATATATTTATATATATATAAGTAAGGATATTAGTAAGGATAAGGATTTGTTGACGTTTCAAAAGTACGAAATTATGGTTTAATTGAAATAAATACTTTGACTTTGACGTGACTCATGAACATTGTTAATACCTAAAACGTCACGTATATTATATCTTTTAAGATTAATTCAGTTTGACGTTATATCAAAAAGATGAAAGATATCTACCCACGTAAGAGATACCTATTAAAATGATATGGATGTCACATGAACGATAAGTTTATTAATGCTTGTCATCATCGAGAACTGGTTCATGCTGTAATCTGTGCTCAGAGGCCTTAGTACGAGTTTATTTTACGTTTAAAGTAATCGAAACGAGTACGCGTTCGGCACTCTGATTGGTTGGTTCTTTAGAGGCGGCCAATCAGAAGCCTTAGTACGAGTTTCCATTACGTTTAAAGTAATCGAAACAAGTAAGTGTTCGCCGCTCTGATTGGCTGGCTCCAATGAACTAACCAATCGGAGAACTGAAGGCGGTCTCGTTTCGATTACTTTAAACGTAAAACAAACTCGTACTAAGGCCTCAGAGGTACAAGTTTGTTTCACGTTTAAAGTAATCGAAACGAGTACGTGTTCGGCGCTCTGATTGGTCGGCGCCAATGAACTAACCAATCGGAGAGCTGAAGGCGGTCTCGTTTCGATTACTTTTAACGTAAAACAAACTCGTACTAAGGCCTCTGTACCTTAGTACAAATATATGATATCTTTGAATGTGATGATGGATGTTATGCAAGTATAAGGATGTTTATAGACAGTGGCGAATTAAATCTTAAGAGCGCCCTAGGTAAGCACCTTATAAGCGCCACGATTTCTTTTTTTTTATATTCTCCTATAGGAATTGGGAGGGAGGCCTTTGCCCTGCAGTGGGACGATCATGGCTAAAAATAAATAAATAAATTCGCCATTACTTTTTAGCCGTTTCGCAGCGTCAAAGCGTCCCTCGGCCCTCGCCGCCTCCCGGGATAATACGGCTCTGGTTAATCATGTCTACTAACCAGACTGTATCTTGTCTTTCAGCTACGAAAATTACAAAACTACTATAAAGTTTTATTTTCTTTTTTAATGGGGGAAAATCATGGAATGACTGCTCCCTCCTGGGTACGGCGGGAGGGAGTGTCAGACTCTTACTGACTGAAAACCACCCCGTTCCTTCTCCTGCACATCGAGCCGGAGCCCCGGTAACCCGTTAGGGTCTCCAAGTGTTTAAAGTTCGGTGGTACTTTACTCCTCTGTTGCCATTAACTCTTTAGCTCTCTGGCAGTACAGTTGACAAAAAAGTATATACCCATATGCTGACAATGTGGTAGCTAAAACATTATCTCCTAATATTATCACAACACTTCAGATATTGTTTTTAAAAACATTATTTTCAAACACTGATAATAACTTACCTAACAGATAAAGTACTTTATATTTTACGTAATGCAAACATTACTTATAAATATACTAGTTATTACATGTGGCTGCGCTCATCACCAATTATATAATGTTTACTACATTCCCTAGAGTAAAAATTACATTTCAATCAGTGGTTCCACTAATATTATAGATGCAGAAGATAGAAGAAGACTTTGAAACAAAAAGTACCAAATGGATATGCATAGAATAAGACTAATGCCTGCACATAACACATAATGTCCGTCTGGTAGATTATTTCAAAACATTAGACACGTATTTTATATTTTCTTACGGAAACAAATACTTTCGACGATATATTGATTTGAAATGTCGTGTGACGTCACTTCTATGTACATTTTATACGTAGAAATAACGTTTTAGCCCCCACTCTTAAACTTTGATTTGTTTTAACTAAGTATTGTTTTATCATACGACAAAATAAAATATGTGTCTAATATTTTTCATTACCTAACTTACAGACTAAGTATACCACCTAGTCATAGAATAAAGAAATAAGTACTGAGTATTTCTGAACTAAAAGAAAGCAGATAATTTTATACATGTGGATGTCATAATGCAGTAAAGATAAAGATACTTATCTGAGCCTCACCTATAAATATTGTATAATAAAGATTTGATGAAAGCATCACAAAGAGATCAAGTGTTCAGCTGTTTTGATTTCATATATAAACAACATTTTTAGATTTTTTTAATATTGTCCTGAACTAAAATGTTCTCATGGCATGGGCGCATGTATGGTGGCTAGCATTCATCAGATTAAAATTGTCTCTATTATTACATCTTCAACTTTATTGTGTAGACATAAAATCAAAAATCCAATTAATAAATTTGTCAAATTAGAGTAAGTTGATCTACTGGCCACTGTACAAACTCACTGCACATCACACCTAGATATATAGTAAAAGTAACAATTTGGTCTCCATGGAAACTGAATTGACAATACCTTTCTTCCTACTGTTTTGCACACTTGCTACCTTGCAAAGGAATAGGCATAGTAGTAACATCCACAAACCTGTGACCCATTTTATAAGTCTTATGAGTAGAAATATATGCCAAACCATAATGAAACCTTCCATTTTCAAATAAAAAACTTAAAACTAAAATAATATGAATGAGACATACTTTAAAAAAATCTGACTATATCCAAGTATTTGAGGAAACAATTTCTGCACCTTTCAAGTTTCAAGTTCATTATGTCATGTTTTAGTAGAAAAACACACATTAAGAATGAATGGTGCATAATTTTACATAACCATTAACATTTTTCCCATACATTTTCTATGACATCCAATATAACAAAAGTCAAAAAGATAGTAATAGAAATGGCTATTAGGTAGCTGGCTTCTAAATCAAAGACATAAGGTTATTACTCGTTATAGCTTCCAAATCAGAGGTATTTTATAAGTTAGGTACTTAATATATCTACAATCTAGATGGCTAAAGCAAAGCTCACCGAGTACATATTATACAGAATCCATTTGTTTTTAGTAACTACAGATTACAGAATGACTACAAGTAATATTAAGCAAGACATTGAAAGCCAAACCGGTTACTAAACAAATACATGAATATAAAAATAAAAAAGATGAGACAATTACAATGACAGGTTCTGATATAAGGCAGAAGAATAGACAAATTGTGATTTATAAATTCCATTCTGATGTAATATGAATAAAATATGTCGAAACCACTTACCATTATTTATATCCCGGTTAAATACATTCAGCAACTCTGTATTAACTTCTTCCTTTACTGCTGTGCCCGTGACACTCCTATGAGCTACGATTCCTAAGGGTTTTCGTAAAAGCCGGTTGAAAGTCCTGACAGTACGTAAACTTAATTCCATTGTAAGCTAAAGGTAAAATAGACTCTGAATATATTAAGTCAGCCTTGACGTGCCCACCATGGAAATAAAAGTAAGGTTTGAACTCAATTTTATTATATTTTTGTGGAAAGATAAGGCGAAGACACCGAGATAAAAGGTTATTTTCGAAATGACAGTCGATTAGACAAACAGCTGACAGACTGACATCACTGACATGTGACACCAGTCATGATGACAATGACAAGTATCGAATCGAAAGGATCTTTCTTTCTATGGTTTTTCTATTCGATCATCTGTTCGATTATTTTACAAAGACTTTCTTCTTTTCCTATAATAGCACTAATAATGAAAAGTTTTAGTTTAAATACGACCTCGAATGGTTGCGAAGACGTGCTTCACATGGTGGATAGGCGACCTAACAAACTTCGCAGGAAGTCGCCCAAACTGTAAAAGTATTAGGTAATATGGCTATGCCCTAACTAGCCATTAGGTTCCTCGATTGCTTTATTTTATAGTCTACTTAATGTCTAGTGTAAAAAATGTAGTAGTGTACTTAATGTCTTTACATAGCATGATAACATGACTATCTATCACGCTATTTTTACTAACCATAACCAATACTGACAAAATAAAGTCTAGACTGCTAACTTTATTTCTATTGCCTATAGTATTTATGACAGTCACTTGACAGCTCCACGACATTTCTGTGAGCTTCAGTTTGTCTGTCAGTCAGGACAGTCAGTTCAGTTTATTTTTTAAGCACTCAGCGCTGTGTTTGTTCGTACTTCTATTATCTAGTTTGGTAAATGTTCAAAGAAATAAAAGTGTTATTATAAACAAAAATGGTAGTAAACGCACCAGATTCGCCTGTTCAGGCTGAAGTAATCTTCGTGATAGAGGTTACGGCAGCGAACGGCGCGTATATTGGCGAACTTAAAACAAACTATATTATTCCTACGTTAGAGTGAGTTTTTGATTAACTTCTTACTTATTTTTAAGTTTGTATGAATAATTGATGTCGTAATTTGACTGTTGTCCTAATAATGGTCTCAAAATATGTGTAAAAAGTGTATTTTTGACTCACGTGGTCAATTTTGTAACTTTGAGCCTACCCTTTACTATAAAATATGTTATTGACATCCCATCAACTAATTTAAAATGTTTACAGTATAGTTAAACCTATCCAAATAGATAATAAACAAATAATGAACATAGTTGAACATAAGAAAGTCAGATAATTAATTTGTTATCAACTACTAATTATTTATTGGTGTTGTGAGGTAGGGTCCTTATTGTAGTAATTTTTGTAATGAATAATACGAAGAAAATATTATTACGATATACATGACATAAATGATAAATTGGCACATAAAATAACATGACTTCTTTTATCCTCGAAGGGATAGTCAGTGTGAAGTGTCCCTTTTAATTTCAATAATAAGACTGCACGGTTGGTGTGGTGGCTGGGCAACTAGCTGCAGCACAAGCGCAACGTGTTGCGGTTTCGATTTTCGCACAGAAGAACTCTTTGTGTGATGCACAAATTGTTATTTCAGGTCTGGGTGTCATGCATATGTGAACTTGTATGTTTGTTAACGCACCCACAATACAGGAGAAAATCCTAGCGGGGCAATGTATTTTTAAAACTAAAAATAAAATAAATAAATAATTTTATTTCCTACCATTTCAGATATTTCCATGGAGGTGCATTAGAAGAAGGAGGTGGTAACGGATCAGTGTATGCGATAGTTACATATAAAACCTCCGACGTCCACCCTGGCATACCAGTCGGTACCTTCGGCCCTTTCACTTGTCCGCAAACAGTATTGGAGACCGTTGACAAAATACAGTAAGTGGATCTATGTCTTTTTTGTCTTAAAAGGATTTACGCAGTACCTTTTTACATACGAAACTTATGAAACTTATTAATCTTAAAGAAAGTTAATAGTTATCCACAATATGTTATTGTTAAATTAGTTTAAAAATGTTTGAAATAACAGTTTAAGCAGACAAATTTAAGTTTCCTCACAAAATAATGTCTATCTATTCTCTTAGTTAAAGTATATTTCCTACCAAAGGACAGAATTGAGAGCATAATACATAGAATGTTAACCAGTTCAAAAACAGACTTGACAGATACACAACATCGAATTAACCACTGATAGAAAAATACGATATACGCATTAACCAGTTGTTTCAACTGTTTGTCTGAATTAAACTGTCAAACACCCAGCAGTCACCGGTGACCGCAACCTATTGTTCTTAATATATTTATCCTTTATGTTTCTATTTAGGTCACTGAAAGTTTTACTTAAATGCATGTGCATTTATTTTATTCTTTTTTATTTTATTCTTTTTAGTTTTTTTTATTTTTTTTTTATTTCATTCTTGTATTAATATGTATTCATTTTATTTTCAGAAGAGTCTTACAAAGAGACGGAAGAAACATGAAACATTACTGTATTAAACATCACACATAGTAATAGGATAGTAACAGGCTCATAATATTTTATTCTTTTTCAGGTTTGTCGGTGGTCACATAGAAAACAAAGCATGTATGACGGAAGCGTTAGCGACTGCACTCGATTGTTTCGATGACCTCGGCCGTACTGACTTGCCAATGCATTTGCTTCTACTCTGCTGCTCACCACCCTACTCAGCATATGGTGGAGGCCTGGTGCCACCTGGTATGTCAAAATTAATTTATTTTTGTCACAATAAAAATCATTTTTGTTTGTCATTCATAATAGAACCATTTACAGAATTTAGAATGTTAAACGATTAACCTGTTGAAAATTGTTGAAAATCATCCCCTAAATTTGTTCATACAAAAGTAGTCTCTAAATATTGGAAATAAGGTTTATAATGTAGTTAGTGAAGAGTGGTCACCGTTGAGTTCTTGGGGATATATGGGTTAATGAAATAAGATATCTAGTTTTCTAAATGGACTTAAATTTTCTCCCGTGTCTGGGAACACATAATTTCATACACATTATAACATACAGATCTAGAACAACATTATAAAGTGTTAGAACTTCTCTGTCGTTAATGAGGATGTTGATAGCTAACCATCAGCCGATCTATTTGTGAGACATCTGATCCATGATCAACTACAAGTGATCTGTATACTTGTATACCCACTATCCCACAAAAAATCGGGTGGGGCAGCGCCGTTGGTTTTAATAACGTGAAACGTATATGTTAGCGACAAGCGAGAGCGACGGTTTCGCACAGTTAACTCAATGTCATAACAGCGAGCTGACTATAAAAGTGAAATATTCACACCACATTTGTTTTTTAATTATTAAGGTACGATGATATAGACCTTTTCATTACGGGCCACTTTTTGTACCTGGCACCCGTGTGTTTCGGCGGGATTTTAAGGTCGTTTCACATCAAAAAAATCCTTCTTTAATATTAGTTTTTTATCCGGTCAGGTGCACCAGCGACGGTGGAGCAGGCAGCACGTATGTTGGCAGAACGCGGCGTACAAGTGTCGATAGCGTCTGCTCGCCGCTTCCAACAACTGCATGCGTTGTATGAAAACGCTGGTGGGGAACTACATCAAGCACAACAGAGGAATTATGCTAAGGTAGGACTACACTCTCAGGCGCGTCGTGTTCCAACGAGTCATAAGACTACCACAGATGGGGTCCAATAGGGCTATTACCCGTCGCGGAGAACCTAACGGGAAACCGGGGCTCCGGCTCGACGTGCAGGAGAAGGAACGGGGTGGTTTTTAGTCAGTAAGAGTCTGACACGCCCTTCCGCCTCACCCAGGCGGGAGCAGTCATTCGATGATTTTCCCCCCTTAAAAAAAAATAGGGCTATTACCTAATACGGAGCCACGGAAGGCCTAACGGGTTGCCGGGGCTCCGGCTGGAAGTGCAGGAGTAGGAACGGGGTGGTTTTTAGTCCCCGAAATGGTAGGCAGAGGTACACATTACGGTACGATAGTGACACCCACTTTTCACTATTTATGTTATCAGTCCCGTGTAATAGGTGGTGAGCCTATTTTTATTTTTTATGTCATAAGCCGGTAAACGAGCATACTGATCACCTGGTGGTAAGCAATCGGCGTCGCCCATAGACATGTGGAGCACCAGAGGCGTTACAAGTGCGTTACTAGCCTTTTGGGGATTAGGAGTTTGAGGATCGTTGCGGATTCTGGAATTGGGGAGATTGGGGAAGCGGAGGGTAATTGGGCCTCAGGTAACCTCACTCACACGACGAAACACAACGCAAGCGTTGCTTCACGTCGGTTTTCTGCGAGGCCGTGGTATCACTCCAGTCGAGCCGGCCCATTCGTGCCGAAGCATGGTTCACCCACACAGTGCCATATACTGGGCACAATTCCAAACTCTGTGCTACTACTGAGCTGACTTAATATTATCTTATGTTATGTTATAGGATCCCCGGCACTTGGTGTTATTACGTGGTTATAGTCTGAAAGAGAGGCCGCCAAGTCCCGCCCCACCTCCAGTCCCTGATATACAAGCTGATGTCTATGGGTATGTATTCATTCATTCACTTACTGAAGCTTTACACATAATAGTACGACAGGGAGTTCACGCTCACACATTGAGGCCAAAAAGGTCCCGTACAGTTCGGTTTCAGAGGAATTTCCTCCCAAGGACCCTTCGATTGTAGAATGTACTTCCTGCTGTGGTTCCTCCAGTAGGCTACAACTACAACATGGGGTTTTTCAAGAAGGGAGTTAATAGGTTTTGCAAGGGTCGGCAAGACGCATGTAATGCCCCAAGTGTTGCAAGGCACCTTTCCAGAATCCGTGCTACTACTGAGGTTTTTACAAACCCAGTAATACTTTGCCCGACCCGGGAATCGAACCCGAGACCCTTTGTCCGGCAGTTGCACTTGCGACTCGGCCAATGAGGCAGTCTTTGAAATTTGAAATGATTTCAAAACGACATTTAAAATGATCTATATATATAAAAGAAAGTCGTGTTAGTTACACCACTTATAACTCAAGAACGGCAGAATAGATTTGGCTGAAACTCAATAGGAAGGTAGCTTAGAGCCAGGAGACCGCCATAGGATACTTATTAACCAATTTTTTTTTTTACTTTGATGAAAGTGGGAAAAGGAAAAAATGGGATTACGCGTACGAAGTCGCGGGCAGAAGCTAGTTACATATAAAATCTTGTTCATTTTCGTTCCAGACAAGGGCGCGGCACAGCAGGGCCGGCTCGTGCGGGGGCCCCGAACTTCCCGCGGCCCACCGTCGCCGCCGCCGCCGGAGTGGGGCCCGTCGGCAATGTCGCCGGGGTGCCCGGGGTTGCGGGCGTTGGTCAGTATATTGTTGAGATTATAGTACAAATACAAATATTGTTTATTTCGTCAATGTAGGTATGTTACAATAGATGGTAGATAATATTATGGTAGTGCGCCACATTGTGTCTGTACAGACATACAAAATTTTTATAGTATGTTCTTAATCTAGTGTGTTTACAGACAATAATCTTCTCTGTCTACATTATGGAACATAATACACCTAATTACAAACTAAATTAATATTAACATCAAGTTTTAATAAAACTATTATTATAATAGTGTTATAATAACATCAGTTAGTTGTTATAATTTCTCGTCTGTGTTTTAACTGACATTTTGCAAGATTTTCGTGCCCGTCCAAAACTTGTCTTCAATGTGACTTTTTCCGAGTTATATGTACTTTCTAAGATTATTTAGATACTACGGACATATGGTTAAGGGAAACATAGTGACTTGGAATTATAATATCTAATTATAAGTTTAAAATCGCCAACCCGTATTGAGCAAGCGTGGTGTATAATGCTCAAACCTTCTCTGTGCGAGAAGAAGCCTTTGGTGTGACCACTTATAAGCTTGTTTTGACGTGACAACGTCTTATAAATTGGTTTGCCGGGTGACACTTCAAGAAACTGCGTTACGCTCCGCTCACGTTATGCGCTCACAATGAGAGCGAGTGAGAGGCACGCGTCCCTTCCACTCGGGCATGGTTAGCCCGCCTAAGAGCGAGAGAGACAGACATAAAATGTGAAAGGCACGCGTCATTTTACCTCTCAAATAGGGTAGACGACTAATTTTTATTTTAATGTCCGTCTGATAGATTATTTAAAAACATTAGACACGTATTTTTTATTTTCTCACAGAAACGAATAGTTTCGAAGATATATTGATTTGAAATGTCGCGTGACGTCACTTCTCAGTACATTTTATACTAAGAAATGACGTTTTAGCCTGAACTTTGATTCGTTTTATCTAAGTATTGTTTTATTATACGACAAAATAAAAAAAATACGTGTCTAATATTTTTTCATTACCTAACTTACGGACTAATTATATTTTTAATTTTCATACCCTGTCATCATCCCCATTCGTTGTCACGTAAAACTTTCGCCCATATACCGACGATTTGATACTTTTGATAACCTAACCTAATTTTTGATACGTGATATGTCGCAGGTACGGGCGCGTGCGGGCGCGGCGCGGGTAACTGGCTGGCCCCGCCGCGCGGGCCGCTGTACGCGAACAACTCGGCGCTACTCACGCAGCTCGCGCAGCCCTCGTACCCGCCACCGCCGCCGCCACCCGCGCAGGTAATCATATATATATATAAAAGAAAGTCGTGTTAGTTACACCACTTATAACTCAAGAACGGCAGAATAGATTTGGCTGAAAATTGGTAGGGAGGTAGCTTAGAGCCAGGAGACCGACATAGGATACTTTTTAATCAATTTTTTTTTTCACTTTTCTCCGAAAATCACGAACGGGGACGGGAAAAAATGGGATGGGACGCGTACGAAGTCGCGGGCAGAAGCTAGTGTTATATATAAAACCTTTTTTTTATTTGATGACGGGGGAAGCCTTCGAAAGGCGCCTAGCTTTTTGGGGATAAAAGACCCAGAAGAAGAGAAAGAAGAAGAAGAAGGGAGCGTGCGATTTTTACCTCACTAAAATCACCCCGTGGTCACCCTCAACACCTGTATGAAGGCACGCTTTTTATCCCCGAAGGGATAGGCAGAGGTGCAGATTACGGCACTTAATGCCACTGTACAATACAACACCCACTTTTCACTATTTATGCTACGAGTCCCGTGTAATAGGCGGTGAGCCTATTGCAGTAGTACTTTGCCCGACCCGGGAATCGAACCCGAGACCCCTTGTCCGGCAGTCGTACTTGCGACCACTCGGCCTACGCAGGTAATGTCATATATAAAACTATTTTTTGATGACGGGGGGAAGCCTTTTTTGAATGGCGCGCTTTTTGGGGATAAAAGACTAGGGAGTGAGGGATTTTTACCTCATTAAAATCACCCCGGTTGCCACCCTCAACACCTGTATGAAGGCACTCCTTTTATCCTCGATGGGGTAGGCAGAGGTGCAGAGACCAGTTAATGCCACTACAGTGTAACATCCATTTTTCACTATTTATGTTATAAGTTCCATGTAATGGGTGAGCCTATTGCCATTTACCGGACACATTTCCAGACTCCGTGCTACTACTGAGAATTTTTTAAAAACCTGAAAATACTTTGCCTAACCCAGGAATCGAACCCGATACCCCTTGCCCGACAGGCGCACCCACTCGGCTCTTGTAAGATAAATATCTTTGTGTTCCAGACTGGTCACCAACGTATGCCTACAATGGTGACGCCGGGTCCGTCCGGTACTCAGCTACAGCGCTCCTACATCTGGAGCGGAGTCATCGAGTGGATGGAGAAGGGAAAGACTCCGGTAGATCAGAAAACTACCAAACATCTACCTTGCCAGGTGATTTACTAATTTATTTTGTTAATCATAGAATCTATCCTTACTAATCCTTAATAATATTATAAATCGGAAAGTGAGTTTTTTTGTTTGTTTGTCCCGCTTTCACGCCGTAACGACTAAACCGATTGCTTTGAATTTTTGCAGACGTAAAGTTAAAAGTCCGGATTAAATAATAGGGTACTTTTTATCCCGGAAAAATTTTATATTCCCGAGGGAAAACAAAAGTATTGGTAAAGATGGCGCTGTGTGTGTTGATATATGTCATATAGGCTACTTTTTATCCTTTCGTGACGCGAGCGAAGCCGCGGGTAAATGCTAGTTATACATAAAACAACGTTATTAGGTGTTTAGTCTAAATACTCCAGTGATATCGCTCACACGATTGCTTGGTCGGTTTTCTACTAGGCCGTGATATCACTCCGGTCTAGCCGACCCATCCGCATCACGATAAGAATTTAAATGCATTTATTGTTATTTTATTAAACATTAATCGGAATCTACTATTATGTATGTATGTCTTTACCATTCACGGGACCACAGGGTCCCGGTCATTTGGGAGGCGTACGAGGGGCCGAAGCCAACTGCTCAGAGGCCCTTTAGACAACTTTAATATAAATGTAATGGAGACACAAACCGGCGACTATCCCTGTATGCACTATGGAAATGCACCCAAGGACAGTCCCCGGTTAGTGTAGGCTATTATTATTATTAAAAAAATCGTTGTCCCTCACTAGGATTTTCTCCTGTGTCGTGGGAGCGTTTATAAACATACAATTTCACATACACATGACACCCAGACCCGGAACAACAATCACACAAAGAGTTGTTCCGTGCGGGAATCTAACCTGCGACACGTTGTATGGCAGCCTCTTGCCCAGCCACCGCGCCAACCGTGCAGTCATTCGTTCTAAGATTGCCTCAAAGACATTACTTTTGCTATAGGGCCCATTTCCCTATCAACTTGATTATTTGTTATGCAGTTACCTAAATAAAGATTGGTTCAGTACAGAGACAATAACCAATGGTGGCAATGGTTACCCACTGAACCGACGAATGGTTACAAAGGCCATATGTTTGATCAGCTACTTCGCGCGGTTTAACCCGCTCTGCTCGGCTCCTATTGATCGCAGCGTGATGTTTTATAGCCTATATATAGTCTTTCTACAGGGTATGAAAATTAAAAATCAAATTAGTCCGTCAGTTAGGTAATGAATATATTAGGCACGTATTTTTTTATTTTGATGTATAATAAAATTATACTTAGATATAACAAATCAAAGTTTAGGAGTGCAGACTAAAACGACATTTCTACGTATAAAATCTACATAGAAGTGACGTCACGCGACTTTTCAAATCAATATGTAGTCGAAAGTATTCGTTTCTGTAAAAAAATTAAAATTACGTGTCTAATGATTTAAAATAGCCAGACGGACATTGAAATAAAAATTAGTCATCTACCCTATTATTCAGAAGAACCTAACGGGTAACCGGGGCTTTGGCTCGACGTGCAGGAGAAGGAACGGGGTGGTTTTTAGTCAGTAAAAGTCTGACACTCCCTTCCGCCTCACCCAGGCGGGAGCAGGCATTCGATGATTTTCCCCCTTAAAAAAACCCTATTATTCAAATCGGACACGTGGTTCTAGAGGTTCAACAGCTTTATATTATAACTATATACATTTGTATTACATAACTTTATTTTTCAATTGTGTTCTGGCTTCGCATCAACCACTTCATTTATCTGCACTTCCCTATGGTTGACTGTAAGAGAATGCCTTAAGTCATTAAGTCCGCCATTCACTGTATTTTGTGAAGAAGATGTTACGTTGGTTGATTAATAATTTGTAGACGGATTTATAATACTTGGATTTATTACAATGTGCAGGGCGCACGACGTGTACAAACACCAGACTATGACAGGTAGACAGCGGCGATAATGACGTGTGTCCTACCTTATATAACACATTATAGTGAAGGGGGGCACTACTTACTAATTAGTGATGTTCATATCATACATGTAACAGAAGATAATAAATAAATAAATATATTTTTTTGTCCAGGTATCAGCAAGCACGAAGGACATAGAGCCTGAGTTGAAGGTGGACACGTGGCCGAGCAAGTTACTGATGCAGTTGATGCCCAAGCAGTTGATCAGTAACATCGGCGGTCAGTACTTGAAGGATAGCAAGTCGGTTCTGTTCCACCTGCAGCCCAGTGAAGCTTTGGACTCCTTGACTAAAGTCATGGTTAACGGCTTTGTAAGTATTCGTTTGAAATTTGCTTTTGTTTCAAACTAAAGTAATTGACTAAAAAATTGGTTGCCTGTAAAGTCGGTATACGGGCGAAAGTTTTACGTGACAACGACTTTGAGTGGTAAAATAATTTTAATGTTGTGAATATTCATTCGCATAGTAGGAAGAAGGATGAAATAATAGTAACAATTTAAAACATTTATTTATACAAAGAATTATATTTAAAACATTAATTTATACAAAGAAGCAAGACATGAACCGGTGTGTATGCCTATCTCTCTCACTCTCTCTCTCTCGCTCTGTCTCTCTCGCTCTTAGGCGGGCTAACTGTGCTCGAGTGGAAGGGACGCGTGCCTTTCACTTTTTATGTCTGTCTCTCTCGCTCTTAGGCGGGCTAACCATGCCCGAGTGGAAGGGACGCGTGCCTCTCACTCGCTCTCATTGTGAGCGCATAACGTGAGCGGAGCGTAACGCAGTTTCTTGAAGTGTCACCCGGCAAACCAATTTATAAGACGTTGTCACGTCAAAATTTATCGTTCCATATTACTGAAGGAGGCCTAATAATCCTCCCAATCTCTAAATCCCCAATAATGCTCAAATTTCTAATCCCCAAAAAGTCGATAACGCACTTGTAACGCGTCCGAGTGTACAATGGCGGCGGTGATTGCTTACCATCAGGTGGTCCGTCTGCTCGTTTACCGGCTTATCCCATAAAATAGGCACTATTCAGAATGACGTAAGCAAAAACTCATGTCTGTTTCCCATGGGGGTAGGCAGAGATTATAGAACGCTAATTGGTACAAATGAACTTATTATAGTAATACTAGCTGTTACCCGCGACTTCTTTCGCGTAGAATATCATTCCTGTTTTATCCCATCCCAGTATTTATTCGGGATAAAAAGTCAGCGTGATTGACGGACTAACATCCAAATAAAGAAACTTTAACATTTGTAATATTTGGAGGCCACTCAACATCAGTATACGTCGGGGCAGGCCCAAAAGGAGATGACAGGACGAATTAGACAATTATTTTTTCGAACGTTACTCCACACTACGATTATCTCCGGCACGGCACGGCAGCCGGTTGCCCAGCTACCGCACCAACCGTGCAGTCGCTATCTATGAATCTATCTATGACAAGGATTGGCCGCAAAAAGCTTTACATACAGAAGAGTGGAAGGAGGGTTTTTTTAAGGGGGGAAAATCATCGAAAGACTGCTCCCGCCTGGGTGAAGCGGGAGGGAGTGTCAGACTCTTACTGACTAAAAACCACCCCGTTCCTTCTCCTGCACGTCGAGCCGGAGCCCCGGTTACCCGTTAGGTTCTCCGCGACAGTGGAAGGAGGGTAGGGAGACCTTCGCCCTGCAGTGGGCGATCATGGCTGAAAATAAAATAAATAAAATAATATTTGTGTTAAATTAACAGCCAAATGTTGATTTATTTCGCAGGCGGGTTGTGTTCACTTCTCCCCAATGCCGACGCCGCCGCAATGTGACATCAAAGTACTGATATTACTATACACTCCGGATAAGAAGGCCTATTTAGGCTTCATACCGAACAACCAAGCTACATTCGTCGATCGACTTAGAAAAGTAAGTAATTCACCTGCTACTATATGTATAATTAAAATTAGTATTCTTTACATAAAATGAATATGTGACAATATGATATAAACTTAAATTCTGTTTTTCAAAACTTTAAATAATTGTTCGTTTTTAATATAATTATATTTACAATGTAATAACAATGAACAATGTAGTGTAATTAACAATGTAAGGGGCAACGTTTTAAAAACAAAAAATATATAATATCATTCTTACGAAATCTTTCATTCGTGTCAAATTCCTGAGAAGAAATTATTTTATTATTGTCTACGGCTTTTTCGATCTGAAGGCTTAGTACGAGGTGGTTTCCGCTTAAAGTAATCGAAACGAGACCGCGTTCAGCTCTCAGAGGCCTTAGTACGAGTCTCTTTTACGTTTAAAGTAATCGTAACGAGTACGCGTTCGGCGCTGTGATTGGTTGATTCATTGGCGCCGGCCAATCAGTGCGCCGAACGCGTTCTCGTTTCGAATACTTTAAACGTAAAACAAACTCGTACTAAGGCCTCTGATTGGCCGGCACCTGCCAATCACAGCGCCGAACCGTACTCATTTCGAATACTTTAAACGTAAATCAAAATCATACTGTGGCCTCTGAGAGCCGAACGCGCTTGATTCTATTACGTTACAAATGCGATGATTATTCGTGCTTGGCGCTCTGATTGACCTGCTCCAATGAACGAATCGCTCAATACGCGTTCGGCGCTCAGGATTGGCCGGCGCCAATGAACCAACCAATCAGAGCGCCGGACGCCGTCTCGTTTCGATTACTTTAAAAGAAAAAGAAACTCGTACAAAGGCCTCAGATGGCTAAACATAGTAACGTTTCGATCTTATTAAACGTAAAACAAAACTCGTATTAGACCCTCTGTACCTTCTATGAGACTTCAATTAAATAGTAATTGCAATCCATAATCTTTGTACTAGGATCGAGGACAAAGTCAAAGTCACAATCATTTATTTCAATTAGCCAGGATGGCACTTTTGAACGTCAACAAAAAGTTTGAAGTAAATTTGCTCATTGCTCCATACTTCTATGAAGTTTCCGTAGATTTTGAATAAAGATTGATTTAAACCTTAATGCCTATGGAATAGAGTTGATACCGCATTGTGTTTACAGGTGATTCAACAGCAAAAGATCAGTCAGATCATCAGCAAGCAGCAGTTACCAGCCGCCGTCAGTAACGCTGGAGGGATGGCACAGAACATGCCCAACGCCACTATGGCCGGTAAGCACAAACACATTTCTTTTTCTTTCCTTTAAAAATGTTGCCCCACCCCAGGTGTTCTGCCGATACGGACCCGCGGAGGACTTAACGGGTTGCCGGGTCTCCGGCGCGAAGGGCAGGAGCAGGAACGGGGTGGTTTTTAGTCAGTAGGAGTCTGACACTCCCTCCCGCCTCACCCAGACGGGAGAAGACATTCGATAACTTTCCCCCCTTTAAAAAAGGCATTAAAATTATATAAATGGAATGGAACAAAAACAGCTAAAGTTAGGTCTTTGCGAATAGAAATCCTTACTAATTACTTTACTAATAATATTATAAATCTGAAAGTGAGTTTGTTTGTTTGTTTGTTTGTTCCACCTTCACGCCGTAACTACTAAACCGATTGCTTTGAAATTTTGCAGACGTAAAGTTAGAAGTCCAGATTAAATAATAGGGTAGTTTTTATCCCGGAAAAATGTGATATTCCCGAGGGAAAACAAAAATATTAGTATAGATGGCGCTGTGTGTATTCCTGTAGATGGCGCTTTGTGCCATCTAAAACAATTCAACGAATTACCTACTAATAGGAAATTTCACGCTTTAATCTATAGCGCTTATTTGGTGTTAATCTACACTTATTCAGTGCGCTTTTCGACTCATTTATTTGCTATTTTTTATGTAAAAATACTTAAAAAACACAACGTGGTAACGTTGTGTAGTAGTTACGCTACTTGGCGATAGATGGAGCTGAGTGTTTATAAAACGGGGTAGCGTTGTGCTTTTAAAGTACTTTTATCGCTTTTAAATTTTGGTTCCTACCATTTTACATTGAATTGTGTATTTTATAGATTTTAGGTTGTTAAAGGTACATGAAATTGGTGTCTATGTAGTAGTTACGCTATTTTTTAAGTATTTTTCGCTTTTAAATTTTGGTTCTAACCATTTTACATTAAATTGCGTATTTTATAGATTTTAGGTGTACCTTTAACACAAAATTGGTGACTATGTAGTAGTTACGCTACTTGGCGATAGATGGCGCTGAGTGTTTAATATTATATATTCAACGGGGTAACGTTGTTTTTTAAGTATTTTTATCGGTTTTAAATTTTGATTCCTACCATTTTGCATTGAATTGGGTATTTTATAGATTTTAGGTTGTTAAAGGTACACGAAATTGGTGTCTATGTGGTAGTTACGCTACTTGGCGATAGATGGCGCTGAGTGTTTATAAAACGGAATAGCGTTGTTTTTTAAGTATTCTTCGCTTTTAAATTTTGGTTCCAACCATTTTACATTAAGTTGCGTATTTTATAGATTTTAGATTGTTAAAGGTACACGAAACCATAGTGGCAACAATACTCAACAATTAGCAAATATATTGTACGCTGTTGTTTCAACGCTCGATAGATGGCGTTAGGATCGGTTAGATGGCGCTATGGTTTCGTTACCGGCGAAAGTATAGGTTCCGAGCTTCCGTATCAACTGTATTTTAGGGTACGCATCTAGCGCTTCTATTGATTATTATTTGTTCGCTTTGTAGGTTTGATTAGTCAAATGTTATTTTCTAGGTAGAAATTTAAAGTACTATAGTAATTTTTTTTCGTCGTTTTAAGACGCTTTGTTCATTGTTTACGTTGATTGATACAGTAGCTATATTAGTTAGGTTAGATTAGTGAAGTGGTTTATTTCTAAGTAGATGTCTAAAGTAGTTAGGTTTTCGATAATAAAACGTATAATATAGTTTACCACTCAGTTTTGGTTTAGCATTGCAAATATAACCCTTATAGGAAATAGAAGTCTTTTAAATTAAAATGGGAGGAGGTATTTGTGGTAATGCGAAAATAACTTCTTCTGTTCTTTCACGCGGCTGAATCGATTTTGGTATAAAGGTAGTTTGAGTCCTGGAAAAGCAAGGCTTTACCGCGGCAGAACTTCTCATTCCCACGGAAAAATCTAAAACGCGCGTTATAACCGAATTCCACGCAAGCGAACAGCTGTTTGTTTGTTTGCCTGTCTTAAACGGCAAAACGGAGGTACTTAACGTGATTTTTCAACTGAAGGTAGTTGAAGGGATGGGTAGTCACATAGGCTACGTTTTATCTTTTTGTGACGCGAGCGAAGCCGCGGGTAAAAGCTAGTATAGATATAGAAACGAGCGTTTAAATTGTGCCAATCAACAATCACTGTGTTGCCGTATGAAACTACCTCAAAAAAACCCAGGTGTTCTCTTGTGTCTTATTCTTTGGGGGGGGGGGGTGTCAACCAATGACTCCTCCCACCTTAGGTGGGGGGAGAGGGAGTGTCAGATTCTTACTGACTAAACATTACCCCGTTCCTACAACTGCTTGGAGTCGGACCGATCCAGCTCCGAATCAGGCAACAGCCCTACTGATGAGGATCTGTGATGGACTGATTGTTCCCGTCTAGCCCTAGATAGGAAACCAAAAATAATTACCTTTTTTCTTTATTATTTCCTTATCTCATAGGTTCTGGTGCAATGCCGACCGCAGGAATGTCGTCAGGCGGGATGGGATCTGGCATGTCTGCGGGCATGCAATCTGTGCCTGTGGGCAATGTGCCCGGCGTGGGTAACGTGGGCAGTGTGGCCAACGTGGGCAACGTGGGTCCAATGTCCGGACCTGGACCGAGCCAGGGCATGGTGCAGTCGCAGATGCAACAGCACCCACAAGTAAGATATTTTGAAGATTTTTGTTAAATGCTTATCATCTTTTCGTTGTTAAATTGCTACAAATGTAATGGAAATGTAATCAAGCAAGGGAATGTAATCGATTTTTGAAAATGTCTTAGAAGCAGTACGGAGTCCGTTTGTTGGACGTATCTATAACAACTTTTATCAAGCAAAATCTGAAATTTTACCTTTAGAAACAACAATTGGTATAATCAATTATAAAATTATGTATAAAAACTATCGTAAAACATATTTATAACTATCCTTAACTCATAACTATAAGCCCCGTTTTCACCCCGATGCTAATCGGACCACTCTCGAAAAAAAAACTAAAATATTTCCTCCACTTCTCTTCTCCAGGGTATGATGATAGGCGGTTCAATAGGGCAACAGGTTCAACAGGTTGGAGGGAAAGGTCCTCGCCCAGTTACCCAATTGGATGGCCTTGAAGCCGCTCGCCAGCAGAATTTGGAGAAGATCCAACATTTGCAACAAACGTTGGAGGCGGCTCATCAACAGGAAGCTCAGTTCAAGTCACAGATGGACATCATGTCGCATCTACACGCAGCCCAGCAGCAGGAACAACACTATAAACAGCTTGAGGTCAGATATTTTAATTTTAAATTATCTATCAGCATGTGTCATCACAGTAAAGAAAGAAATAAATATTATTTCGGGTATACTTAACGTTACCATTTATTTTTTGACTCAAAACTCAAAACAGACAGACAGATTTTGACAGGAATTTTATTGGCAAGTAATTGATGTACCAAAGAGTAACATAGGCAATAAGTAGATAGTAACGTATTCAAATAAATCATACATTCCAATGGTTAATGTAAAGAAAAATTACATTTATAGGAACAACGCAAGCATCAGTTGCAGCAACAGCTCCAGCAACAGTTGCGTGGTGCCGGCGGGGCGGCACACCCCCCGCGCATCATCAGGCCCCTGCTGCCTTCCAACCCTGGGCTCAGGCATCTGCTGCAGCAGGTAAGTCACGCTTAACGTCCCGGTTCGAATCAAGACTAGGAACGGAATGGTTTTGTATGAATCTGACTCTGTCTCTCGCCTCACCCAAGGCGGGGGGTTATTAGATGATATTCCGGTTAACAAATAATATCTTCTCTCTAAAAATCTTAGTCTTTTTCTATCTCCTACTGTCATCTTCTCTTAGTCTTATCAGTGGCGAATGCTACCCGCTCAATATTTATCGTGACGTCGGCCCTTCAAGTATAAAGAAAAATCGTAATCCAGGATCACGATATTTATCGAGTTTGTAGTATAGCGTAATAATTATAATATTATTAAATATTACTTGTTTTTATAATAACTATCGTGAGACATACTAAATTAACTAAAAATCGCGGGTTACTCACGCGCATATACTGAGAAAAGTTCTACTAGTTTCGAACCACAAGGTTCTGCGGTCGCGACGATGTCGCGCAGCCTACGCTGCTCATGAGGAAGAACCCCTCTGTGGTTCGAAACTAGTAGAGCTTTTCTCAGTATATTCACACAAGTAACCCGCGTTTTTTAGTTAATTAAAATATTACTTGATAAATATCACAAATATCGCGATACATATCGAGCGTGTAGCATTCGCCAATCACAAATCCCTTAGTTATGCTATATCCAAATACGGCAATGACTCACTTTTTTAAATGCAATCTCTCTCAGGGCCGATTTTTCCAACGCCGAATGTTTTTAACTGAGTAATAACTCAATATTTGACAATTCTTCCATACTGTCAAATCATTTTATTATACAGTCAAGAATTAATTGATGATTGAAATAAATCGGCCATAAGTTTTCATTGTTTCATATATTTGCTTAAGAAAGTTGAGTAACATTGAGTATTTGAGTGTTTAGTTTTAGATTTTGACCATTGACTAGTTATCAATCAAGTTTCATGCTTGAGATGGACTGAATTGTTATTTATTTATTTTGGCAGAATGTAAAATATACTCAGACAGTAGTCTGAGTATATTTTAAAAGCCTTTTCTTATACAAAGAAGGAAATAAAAACCAGAAAAGAGAAGGAATGACCATATTTGACATTGACCACCACGCCACGCTTGCTCAAGGCAGATTGGTGATTTTAAACTATACAACATGTAACTTAAATAACGCACATCCTGAAAATAGTTTGTTCAGAATCGTTAACTGAATCGATTTATATAATTTTTTTATCCCAAAAATAATTAAAACTACGAAAATTATTGTCATATTAACCCTGTATTGTTAAAACAAATCGAAATGGACCGTAAAGCAATAAGACTTTTAAAATCGCAGTTTTATTTGTATTCATACAAATTCTATCATTCAATACAAAATAAAGAAAAATAAACCTTATGACAAGACCAGTAAGGATGCATATACATGTTAAATTAAAAATTTAGTGTGTATTATGATTGTAACATAATATTCTAATTTGGGTGTTTGAGGGTGTGTGTTAATTACATTACATGTTGTATATTTTGATTTTAAACAAATTTCGGAATCGTTTATAGTTAAAGAACTGTCCTTTTTTAAGTCCAATAAAACAATTCGGTCCGTCTCAATTCATACTGTAAATAATCGATCAATCACAAGACCATTACATGTAACAATCTAACGCTTTCTCATCATTCCAGCTTGTCATAACATGTCTATCTCATACTAGCGCTGTTTAGAGTTCATTTGTGACTTCTAAGGCATATTTTATGGCAATTTCTTAATTATTTTGAGTAATTGTGTAGAAGGATATGTAGGAATTACTTTATAATTACGATATTATTCAAATAAAAAGTTTGTAGTCTATATTAGTAAGTTAGTAGCTATTCGCAATTAGGTTTCAATAAAAGAAGTATAAATAAAGAAATAGGACACATCTTTGCTTGCCACCAGGCGAGGTTGTGGCCAAATGCCGTTTAGGTAAAAAAACACATCTACAGATACAAATATCATACCCTATGTTCGCTCGGTAGCGACGTCAATGGAATATAAAGAACCACAGGCTTATAATATTAAACAAAATACAATAAAAAACTTCTAAAATACCGATTGAATCTCCTTCCTTCTTTAAAGTTGCTTAATAATTTAATTATTCGGTTAATATTATTAAAACCAGCTCCGAAGTGTAACAAACATTTGACAACCGCGTCAAAATCGGTTCAGCCAGTCGCGAGATAATCGCGGACTAATGATATAAGTACACACGGCCACACATCAATCTATACAAAACCAGTTTATCCTGGTGTCGCGTCGCATCATCTTTCCGCACATTTAACGTTCAGTTTATACTGGTTATGTAAAGCTCGATGTGTAGCCGTGTGTACATACAGGTTAAATTAAGAACATCCTTTTTTGAAGTTGCTGGATAAAACCTTAATATATTATTCTAAAGTGAATCAAGTGAATTTATTTTTGGAAATAGGCTACAAAATAGCACTCTTACGCGTTAATTTAAAAATAATTGGGTTGAGGATAACATAGTATTGTTATTTCGTTCGATGAATGCCTGTCACAATGAACTCTTCATTACGAGAGCGCGGAATGTTTATAGCAACAGCAGCAGCCACGCGGGCCGCGCCCCCACATGTGAGGCGCCGCGCCCCCGCGCCCCCGCGCCCCCATCACTCACCTGCGTCCTTCCTTGCACGCACATGGGCGCGCACAAGTAATGCTTCACAATCCTTTTCTTTACTAATTTTACGTGGTTTTGTGACGTGTGTACTTAGGACGGCTAAGCGTAGCGTAATGGACACGTTGATGACGTACAGCACTCTGATTGGCCTACTCCAATAGACTGACCAATCACAGGTCGAAGTACGAGTTTCTTTTATGTTTAACGATATCGAAATGTAACTGCGTTCGGCGTTCTGATTGGTTGGTTCATTGGTACAGGCCAATCAGTGCGCCGGACGCGGTATCGATTCGATCTGAAACAAAAACTCGTACCTCTGTTTACAATCATACAAATATTAACATGTATATCCTCCTTAAAATTTGTAAAAGTGACTTTGGATGTTGTTTTTTTAAATATTCTTTATAAAAAAGTAAATCAATTTCACCTGAGGAATCTCAGATTTGTGACAGTTTTTAGTTTATAATTGATTTGAGCAATGACTAAGTGAATAATATAATACAAAATATGTATTAAACAAAACAAATTACTACATAATCAAAAGGCCTTATATTAACTATGGACATTGAAAAACTATTTACATACAATAAATAAAAAAGTCTCTTCTATTCACGTCACCAAACCACAATTTATGTTGCATGCTATTATTAATTTTCTCAACTCATTCAAATAACAAGTTCTGTTCCTTAAAATGAATTCATTTTTCCTATAACATTAATGACCGATTTCACCAAAAACTCTTAAACCATCGCTTAACTAAGAGTTACTTAGCACCTAAAGTAATCCCTTACTTTAAGGTATCAATATCGGAATGTCGTTACATGTATCTTAGGTTAGGGGTTCCTTAAAAGTTAAGGGTTCAATATTCAAATTCATAATTCAAAATTCTTTATTATCTTAAGAATTTCAATATCTGTCTAACATTGAGGCAATCCCAGTAAGTTATTATACAATACTTGTGTTGGAACTGACTCGATCCTTTCTTTATTTATTTAACACTCTGGGTGGTTGGTTAAAACGGGCATTAGCTTACATTTCATAGGTATTTTTCATATAATAGGGATAGTGACAAAGAGAAAAAAGTCTATATTAAAACTTTTGTGAGATACACAAAATGATTTATTATGTTTTAGGCTTTCTCACGTAACTGTTTGACTAGGAACTCGACTAGTTTCAAGCCATGTTAATAGCCCATATTCATAAGCAGCATTCCGTGATAACTACATATATAAGGCAAAGGGTATAACTTGAGTGTCTTCAAGGCCCGAGTGAATACGTTGCTTATACGTCGACGTGCTCCATCGTAGACCGCATCTTCGCTTACCACCAGACGAGATAGTTATCAAACGTCAGACCATTAACTATACATACATAAAAAAACTAGTCGAGTTCCTTGTTAAACAGTTATGTTAGTAAGCCGCAAAAATCTAGAAAAAAAGTATTAAATATCTAACTAACGAATGTATTAAAGTACATTTTTTTCCGTACCATGTCATTATCCTTGTTATAATTCTTTAACATCTTTGTTTTATGAACATCTGCTTGAAATTAGTTCCATTGTCGATCATATTATATTGAAGTGTAAATATTTTTAGTTTACTATAATCATTTTATAAAGCGCGGGATAAGCGAATCTTTGCGAGGTAAGTACCTATATATGCAAAGTCTATATACAACCGACTTTGAATTATGACCCTTTACGCTTCCTTTTGTTCTTAGGACTTAGAGTTTATTTTTATTGAAGTGAATCTTATAGTGGGTCATAATTCAAATTGATCAATTGTAATCAGTTTTTGATTCGTCCTAAAATAGTCTCTAGTCTATTTTAAATAGGAATCGTAACGCCGTGGCACTGCGTTAATATTAAAACTGTATATACGGCTACACATCTAGCTATAGATAACCAGTATAATCTGACCATTGAATGTACGGAGAGGTCATATAAAGCTAGATCGTGATTAACTGGTTTCGTCAAGCTTGATGCCATAACAGAGCCGTATCTTATTATCTAAGGCAAGTGCTTAAGGCGCCAGATTATATGGGGGTCTGGGCTCGCTGTCTTTGTCTCTTTGAGGAGTGGCTTGAGAGACGCTACAGCGTCCTCACCTACCGCATGACGCAGGTGCTTACCGGACACGGAAGTTTCGGTAGGTTCCTGTGTCGGATTGGGTGGGAGGAAACGCCCGGGTGTCATCACTGCGAGCGCCGCCCGGAAAACACGATGGAGCATACGGTGCCGGTGTGCCCTGCCTGGGCTGGGCACCGCCGTGTCCTCCGGACGGCCCTCGCAGTGATGTTAGGCATCCGGCTCTGATTCAGACCATGGTAGACTCCTTCTCGCCTTAACCGGGCGGGAGGAGTAATAGGATGATTTTCACATTAAAATATTGGTTGCCTGTAAAGTCGGTATATACGGGCGAAAGTTTTACGTGACAACGACTTTGAGTGGTAAAATAATTTTAATGTGAATATTCATTCGTATAGTAGGAAGAAGGATGAAATAATTCACTTTTTATGTCTGTCTCTCTCGCTCTTAGGCGGGCTAACCATGCCCGAGTGGAAGGGACGCGTGCCTCTCACTCGCTCTCATTGTGAGCGCATAACGTGAGCGGAGCGTAACGCAGTTTCTTGAAGACCCGGCAAACCAATTTATAAGACGTTGTCACGTCAAAAAATAAATAAATATAGGGGCATTGCGAGACACGCGTGTCCATAGATTGCCGGCGGCGCTAAAAAAAAGACGCGCCTATGAGATACAAACCTTGCGCTCTCTAATTTAATCCCCCCGTGTGTATAAATGTACACACACCACAATATTAAATCATATTTCTGTAACTAGCAGCCGCAATACAGACCAGGGGGCGGAGCACCCAGGCCGGCGTCGCAGCCCCAGCAGTTTGATGACGTGAACAACTACTCCGACTTCATATAGACCTCAACACCGCATGTGTGGGCATTAATTGATGATGTTGATTGATTATGCTAAACTGCAAACCCGCTAAGTTGTTGCAAGGAAGTCTAGTAGATTTATTTTGTCTGCAGTGGATAAATTTTGGTTTACCGTGAATCTCAAGGTTTTTGTTTTTATAATAACTGTCGTGAGCATACTAAATTAATTAAAAATCGCGGGTTACTCACGTGAATATACTGAGAAAAGCTCCACTAGGTGTCCGGCAGAGGGCGCGTTGGGCTAGCTGCGCAAGTAGCAACACCGAGGCGAGCGCCAACGCTGGCCAGTAAGCTGCGCGACATCGCCGCGACCGCGCACGCTGCTCATGAGGAAGTACCCCTCTGTGGTTCGAAACTAGTAGAGCTTTTCTCAGTATATTTACGTGAGTAACCCGCGATTTTTAGTTAACTCAAGATTTTTCATATAGGTTCCATATTTTCTTTTCGCGATATAATTGTTTTTGGAAATGTTACTGTGTGACATGCTTTTGTATCGTGTGTTTAAGAATTTAATCTCAGCTTTTCTTAAAATGTTGAAATAAAGTTTCAAGTTGTATTTTTTGTCTAACGATGTCAAGTAAGTCTCCCACACATGCTATTGATAGGATCAAAAATATTATGAAGTTTTTATTTGTATAGAAAAGCAGATTTTTTGTCTGTACTGGGTTACTTTGCTTTGCGATATGGACGAATAAATATTATTTATTGTACTCTGTTCATTTTACCCAAAATATTATTTTTATTAGATGCAATGCTGTAGAATTTTATATGTAGGGTGATTTTTAAATATTTTTTGCAGAACTAAACTTGTTATAAGCTCTCTTTTCTATTATTATTTATGTAATTATTTCACTATGTACTATATTCTGTTTATCGTTCTTCTATTTATCATTATTAACGCTGTCTATCCAATTTTTTGTTCAGTATCTTTTAAATATAATTTTATTTATGAATAATTCAACTTTTCAATTAACCATTTATAAAGGGACACATATAAATCATTTTTATTGCGTTTCTTTTACATTAAAAAATGATTAAATCTTATTTAAATTATGCCTTTTAATTAATAAATAAATCATTTTAGTATAAGAATGTCCTCTAAAACAAAAAACATTTTAAGCAAAAATGAGCAGAGTACTTTCGTCATTATTTTAAAATTAAAAGAATATGTGTATTATAAAATATAATTCTGTAATCAAATGAATTATATGAACCTATTGTATTATTGTGATTTTCCTAATTGTATAGTTATATAAATAATCATTATTAATTATTATATATAATTAATAAATTGTTGACTGATAGATTAATTCGTATTAGCTATTATCACGGCTCCGTGAGATTTTGTACAGTTTTTTGTACATATTGTTACAATATAGTAAAATAACCTCGTATTTTTAAAACACTGGTCATGTTTAACATTGTATTAGCATTTTTTCTGCAACTTTTTCCGTCTCCATACTCCCTAAATAAATATATGCAGGTTAACAAAAAGGTTGGTTGAGTAGGTAACAAATGTCGGAATACTGAAACGCTACTCAATTTTAAGTCGCGCTTAAGTGTAGTTCTGTCTGTACAAATTCTTTGTAAGATGACAGAGATGGCACGATATTTAAACACGACTTAAAATTGAGTAACGTTTCAGTATTCCAGTAAAACAGGCTTACTTTCGCAATTTGTAATATAGGGTGGGATTTAACTAATTTTTTACCTTCCAATTTACTCGATTTGTTTTTTTGTTTATTTTATTTGCGTTTTCAGTTATTTGCCTGTTACAGCCTGTATATCATGTGTTAAATCCTCTTTTTATATAAAACTATTTTGACTGGTGTTTTATTAATATAAGATGTATGACAGATTATTTTCAATATTGTTGCGATTGACTCAGTAATGTAAGGAATATAAATGTTATATATAAGTGATAAATAAATAATTGTTTTGAAATAAACCGTTTTTTTTTATTATACTTTTCATTTTGACTGCACGGCTGGTGCGGTGGCTAGGCAACCGGGTCTGGCGGGTTCGATTCTCGCACGGAGCAACTCTTTGTATGATCCATGAATTGTTGTTCCGGGTCTGGGTGGCATGTATATGTGAATTTGTATGTTTGTAAACGCACCCGCGATGCAGGAGAATATCCTAGTTTGGGGAAACGATTTTTTTTTAATATGGTGTAGTGTGTGTGACACCTCGCCATATAAGTAAGTAGCGTAAGTTAGTTATGAAGACACTCAATTAAAGTTATTCATAACACTAACACGTCTCCCTCATTGCTCCACATTGCAATGGGTTCATGCTCTATCACTGCTTATGTTATGAGTTCCATGTAATAGGGGGTGAGCCTATTGTCATATACCAGGCACGATTCCAAACTTCGTGGTAATGAGATTTTTTTTCAAAAACCCATTATTACTTTGCCCGACCCGGAAATCGAACCCGTTAACGGCCGGTAGTCACACGTGGGACCACTCGGCCAACGAGGTAGTCAGAAAATATGACGCGAATACATACATACGTAACTTGCTACACACCCGGATCTGCCCGACGGATACCTGTCGGATCTGATCCGTTGTTGACCATACATGCACTGATCAATATGAGAAAGAAAGAAAAAACATTTATTCAGCACCAGGTACGATGCAGCATAAATAAAATATAAAAAAGACAATCAAGATGTGACAGTGGAAGTAATAAAAATATAAGAGTTGAAAAATTAAAACAGAAGAATTAGAAGAGAGACGCTGACAACATGCCTATGCTAAAAGGGTCACCCACTCAGTATAAGCCAGGCATTTTTTTTTAAGGGGGGAAAATCATCGATTGACTGCTCCCGCCTGGGTGAGGCGGGAGGGAGTGTCAGACTCTTACTGACTAAAAACCACCCCGTTCCTTCTCCTGCACGTCGAGCCGGAGCCCCGGTTACCCGTTAGGTTCTCCGCGACAATAAGCCAAGCATACATGTCACCCAGCACTGATTTTCAGTGGGCACGGTTGTATGGTTAGACAAATTACCGTTTTTAACATTATATAAGTATTGAATTTGACTAGTTGTAAAATACTTACTGTAAGGAATCGATAGTATATAGGTACATGGCCCGCTTCACGTAGTCCAAAAAAATCTCGATGGAGGTAAAATAAAACACATATATTATAAAATATCTCCTTATATATTAAGTATTTGTTTCCGAATTAAGTATATAAAGAATACAAACACGCTAGCAGTCTACATAGAGTTTTGGTATAAAACTGTGGCACTAATACATACATACATTTCCAAGGAGAATCTTGATTTATGAAAATCACCCTTATTTACATAGAAATAAGGATTAAAGTTAAATTTATCAATGAAGTCAATTATTAGTTAATTTGCTAAATCAAAATTTAACTTTATCACAATTTAAATAAGATACAAAAATAAGTTTCCTAAGTAAGATTTGAACTGCAAGATCATTAGGTGTTCAAATGATAATTGAGAAACAAAATTTACAGATATGCCAGTCGATTTCGATGTTTATTACTTTACCAATAAGGTAGATAGTAAAAGCAAAAAATAATGAAGGCAATGCCTTTTTTATATTATTGACAATAAGACTCAAAATCAATTGACAAAGCTCAAACTCATCATTTCTATCGTTAGTTCAAAATACGAAACTTACATCCTTACTTCCTTACTAATATTATAAATCTGAAAGTGAGTTTGTTTGTTTGTTTGTTTGTTCCACCTTCACGCCGTAACTACTCAACCGATTGCTTTGAATTTTTGCAGACGTAAAGTTAGAAGTTCGGATTAAATAATAGGGTACTTTATAACCCGGAAAAAATTGATATTCCCGAGGAAAAACAAAAGTATTGGTATAGATGGCGCTGTGTGTATTGGTATATGTCACATAGGCTATTTTTTATTCTTTTATGACGCGAGCGAAGCCGCGGGTAAAAGCTAGTAATATTATAAATCTGAAAGTGAGTTTGTTTGTTTGTTTGTTCCACCTTCACGCCGTAACTACTCAACCGATTGCTTTGATTTTTTGCAGACGTAAAGTTAGAAGTCCGGATTAAATAATAGGGTACTTTTTAACCCGAAAAAAATTTATATTCCCGAGGAAAAACAAAAGTATTGGTATAGACGGCGCTGTGTGTATTGGTATATGTCACATAGGCTACTTTTTATTCTTTTGTAACGCGAGCGAAGCCGCGGGTAAAAGCTAGTAAAGAATTAAATTAATTAAAAATTATTTGTTTTATACAATATTAATTTAACAGTATTACAACATCCCATTTATAGAAATTTGAACCTAACGTCGTTAGAAATACGATTCTAAATTGCATTGTATTACATAATTATAATTAATATTTTTAATCTATTACACGATCGGCCTATAATTAGATGACACTGATTCAGACTTGACATAAGATATTTATTTAATTTTAACATTCATTCGAAATTCGAAAAAATCTCACTAAATTATACTAAAGATAAACCATGAAATAGACAATCAGGCAACAATCATTTGCTATTCAAATATCGACCTTATGGAAAGTGCAAATTCTTTGCGATAGCGGAGTCAGTAGATGCAGGTGGTAAGTTATCGTTCGACGTGGAGGACTAGGGGGGAGGGCTTTGTCCAGCTGTTGACGTCTTTAGACTGTTGATGATGATGAGACGGATCACTTGATGGTAAGACATCGGCGCCCGCAGCACCGGACGCTGGCCTTAAGCCTGAGCTAGGGTTCTCCGTAATTCCCTTTTTTTATCTTGTAAACATACGTTTCATAGAAAGCCTTAGTTTTTTAAGGGGAGAAAATCATCGAATGACTGCTCCCGCCTAGGTGAGGCGGGAGGGAGTGTCAGACTCTTACTGACTAAAAACCACCCCGTTCCTACTCCTGCACTTCGAGCTCAAGCCCCGGTAACCCGTTAGGTTCTCCGCGACTTATAGAAAGCCTGATTGTCTATTCCCTAGTATATTTTTTTCATTGTGACTAAAAACTATTATGCCCTGTTTCATTAGAACACTGTGGACGTACGACACGGTCACGTAACCGTATTGTCTACTGAGACACCAGAACAAAGTCACCAACAACCAATTTGATATTATACTTATGCGAAGCCAAGACTAATGTTAAATATTTGTAAAGAAATTATAAGGCTTTGAGCTCTCTCATTTCAACATCTCCGCATTCAGTAACACTCACATTATCACATTATTATGACACTTCTGAAGCACAGAAGTGTTTTTATTGTTGTCAGAATGTAGTCTTACGTGTAGTGAATACATTGCTGGTATTTTAATCATTTGACATCGATCTTGGCTCAAGTGTAGGTGAGATACTCTCCATACAACTGTAAACATATTGTTGGTTGCGCTACCGGGTCTTACGGCCATGGTGACCAAGTTAATAAAAGGGCTCTTAAACACAAAATAACTAAAATGTTGTTTATCTACACTAAAAATGCTAAATTTGTATCGCGGTCAAATTCAAATACAACTTTGCAAACAAATGCAATAATAATGGAAATTCGAAATGCTAATAAAATAGGTTAAGCACATTTTTAATATACAGAGTGAATTTTACATGACTTATCTAACACAGCTAAAAGGTTTTGTTTTCGTAGTACTATCCATCTATATTATTATCTTTTATATTAAAAATGACAATAATGGTGAAAAAAAACTCGAAAGCGACTTCAAACCAGTAGTAATACGTACATTGGTGCGGTGACTCGATTTGTCATAAGGTCGTTGCCCTCGCGCTTGACAATCAACTGATATTGTACACAAAACCATTTACTCGGTTTTTCTTTCATTTTCAAATACTCAAACGCCATTCAATTTGAAGAAGCGCTCAAAAAACTTAATAATGAGACACAAGTAGCGCAATATTTAAGTGTTACTTAAATTGAGTAGCATCTCAGTATTTAGGCATTGATATTTGACACTGAATAGGGGGAAACGAGCAGACGGATCACCTGCAACGCTAGAGGACTTTCAAGAATATTGTGATAGTCCTACCGGAGGGCAAATCGTTACGCCACAGGGAACAAGTTATTTAAAATTCACGCTGTATACAGTCATCTCTTTCTGTCATACGATAATAAAAAGAGAGGAGACAACATTTGACGTCGATATATTATTCTAGCAAAGAATTTGGAATTCCAATTTCTTATTTATCACATTCAAGTAACTTTATGTACGACATTATATTATATTATAGTTATATATAAAGAAAGCGTTACAAATACTTAATTTTTAAATTCGATAAAACGCTAAAAATGTACAAAACTAAGTATATATAAGGAATGCAATCATAATTTCTTTTCGATTGGACACAAAAAGGATGTTCTAAACGTTTCTTTTTTGTTCTAAACTATCGTTTATTTTCTACAATATATATATATTTAAATAGAGAATGCATTCTAAATAATATAATTATCTATCTATATATAGATATGCTTCTAATAAAGGAGATTATTTTATTACAACTCGCTAGGCCAATATTTATAACTAAAAACATGATATATACAAAGACTACCTATATAAAAAAGGACCTCTATACCTTTGTTAGTCCAATTTAAATGCTATAATTAAGGGTAGAAGGTACAAAATGAAAATAACATAATATTTTGTAAGCATTCATGCGAATATTATTACGAAAATCCTGTACTAGAAGGCTTATATATTAATATTTCTGGACTAACAACTTAGAAATCTTAGTTACATTTGCTCAGCCCAGAAAACAATCCATGACCTTACAATCACTCGACGTATGTCAATCAGTAATTATAAAAAAAAAATTGATATTCCCAATCATACTTTGCCCAACCTGAGAATTGAAATCGAGACCTTACTACTCGTGGCCACTCTATCATTATAAGCCATCTATGTACAGTAATCATAATTATTATATTGAGTATTTACATTTCAACACATACAAACAATGTTTTACAATACATATTATTGCAAACACAATTTAATTATATTTTACGGTTTTCACATAACTCTTTATCTTTATATATATAATTCTGCTGTACGTGTGTATGTCATTGAACTCCTCCTAAACGGCTTGACCGATTTAAATTAACTTTTCTGTAAGCGTTTGAGTGGCGCCCTGGATGGTTTATATTCACAAATCAGCCCGGCAGATGGCGTTGCAGTCGGTTAACTAATCTGATACTAAACTAATTTGAATGAATTTTTGTTTATACATTCAAGTAGATATGCAGGATAACGTCTGTCGGGTCGGCTAGTATATTATAAATATCGAGATAAACAGTTACGTGAGTAAGACGCAAAACATAAATAATTTAATATTTAAGATGTCTCACGAGAGTTACATTGCAAACACCATTATTTATAAATGACCAATAAAGCCATTTTTTCAACTTTTTAGTAATTATGTAATAGCGTTGGCGCTCCATTCACTAAAATATACAATATACGAGAAACGTAATTAGTTAGTTCAAATTCCACTTAAATTTTTTCAGTTGAAACAAATTTCGACTCGGAAAAAACTGGATTAAGTCCAAAAACTTCTGGAGAAATCTCGTCAAATTCAAATCAAAACTCGTCACCTTTTGACAGCCGACAGAGAACTGTTGAAGGCAAAAAGCAGGCTAGCGACACTCACTGTTGTCCGCATGACGTGTAACGAAGTAAAATATCAACAGCTAACTTCAACTCACTTCTATACAAAATGGGAAATTTTGTCCGAATACATTCAGCCGTTTAGGCGTTTTAGTCACAAAACTCACTTATTTAAAGATTTATTATAATCAGTCACTAAAAAGTTAAATTCAGTTTATGAAACTTTCGACTTGCCACTAGCACTTTTGTCACTGTCTTCTAATTTAAGGGTGCCATTTTGACACTTCCCATTGGTGAGTGGAGGGTCTTTCCTCCTCTTGGGGATTTCGTGCACCCTCTCTAAGAGGGCTTGGAGGATACTGCCGGGAATCCTCTGGTGTTCTTCCACTAATTCCTCTATCGCGTGGGCGACCTGTGTAAGGGACATTAATTACAAAAAATTACACACAACATCACATCAATAGCCTTTAAACTGTCAAACACCACGAGGACACCGGTGACCACAACCTATTGTTCTTTAAGTGTGTCTATAATGACGGTACTCAACGAGTTAAATAGCCACTGCTGACCAAAGACTTCTCGCACGGAGAACATTTGAGCATTAATCACCACGCTTGCTCAATGCGGGTTGGCGATTACAAACTTATAATTAGAAATTATAAGCCCAGATTTCCTCACGAAGTTTTCCTTCACCGTTTGTCAGTGGTGTCTAAATAATCTTAGAAAATACACAATAATCTTAGGAACACTCCTAACTACACAGTTTAATTGACTATTTTAATCACAAAGATACTATACTCGCATACTAAATCAACACGCCTTTATCCCCCAAGGGTTAGGAAGAGGTACATATTATGGTACTTAATGCCACTGTACAATGTAACAGCCACTTTTCACTATTTATGTTATGAGTCCCATGTAATAGGGGGTGAGCCTATTGCCATATACCGGGCACAATTCCAAACTCCGTGCTATTTCTGGAAATGTTTTTTAATCCCAAGACGGACAAGGGTCTGGTAGTCGCACTTCATAAAGTAATTAAGTTGAAATATAAGCAATTTCTTTTTAAACTTCATAGGTCGACGTTGGGCCACCATCTCGCCTCATCTTCCAATATTTGAACACGTGAAGTTGCTTAATAAACTTGATTTTTTAATTTTAGACCACACTTTTCTACTGCACAGTTGGCGCGGTGGTTGGGTAACTGGCTTCCGCGCAACGTGTCGCGAATTCCATGTCTTGCATTCAACAACTCTTAGTGTGATCCACAGATTATTGTTCCGAGTCTAGGTGTCATGTGTATGTGAACTTGTATGTTTGTAAACGCACCCACGACACATGAGAAAATCATATAGTGGGGCAACGTTTAAAAAAACTGTTAAGAAAACGGGTGATGTCTAAAAAAATAATAATTACCTTTCGTTGTAATTGTTCGGGCGTCAGCTCAGGGTCGTAAGGAATGGGCTTGCCAAGATGTGTAATGAGTTTGACAGGGAACCCGCCATACACCGGCGCGAGTGGCATTCTGAACGTGGCATATATCTTCAGCCAAACGCCTCGCAACCAACCGACTGTTCGGAACGCTTCTCGAACATTCTGCGTAAACATCGGTATGATGGGCTGTGAACAAAAGGTTATATTGAAGGGGTAGTAATAAAAGCTCCGACAAGAAAAGAAGAATTGTCCTTACTGAAAATATTAAATCTACTGCATAAAATACTAACTTTCCGACTACTTTACATGACTGTTTATTGCTACAATACTTTTTTTTTTTAATGGCGGGAAATCGTCATGGACTGCCTCCGCCTGGGGAAAGGCGGAGGGGTGTGCCGGACTCTTACCGGCTAAAACCACCCCAGTGTCTCCTCACACGTGCGTGCGATTGCTACAATACTAACTTAACCTACCCTAAAACGTCTGTTGTCGGTAACTTAGTAATTTTGTCGGAGGTTCAATATTCTATTCGGAAGTTTAGTTTTGTTATTCGAAGATCCATTTTTATTGTCGGGTACAAACCGCTGGAGATTAATTTGTTTTTCAGAACCATTATTATTTTCCATATTGAAGTAAGTATATTGAAGTTTTTTGCAAAAAAACTGGCTATGGTTGGGTAGGAAACGCCGAAGATCACGATCATCAAGGTTTCATTCAAATACAATGCATGTAAGTTGATATTTTTAGAGACGAACATCAAAGACTCGGTTAGACAAATGACTCGACTTCAGTATGCCTTCTACTAAAGGCAACAAACAACAACGTTAGTATCAAATTAAAATCGTTTCTGATGACATGTTTCTATTATCCTAGATGTGTCATTAAATGATTTAAACTTTATGTTCTTAAATAATAATTGTTTTACAAACTATTAGCAGTTGCCCGCGACTTCGTCCGCGAAGAATAATGGCTTCTGGCAGAATTTAGGCTTTCGAATTAGTCTTTATGAAGGGATATTTTACGGTAACGAATGTAATCAGAATTGATTCACTACCTAGTATAGGGCTCCTCCCCTGTAGATGATTGCGTAATAATATGCAGCCTATGTATACCCGACTTGTCAGTAATATTCATGCAAAATTTGAAGTAATTCCATGCAGTACTTTTTGAGATCATCCCGGACATACTTACATACAAACAAACAGAAAAAAAATCTATAATTCATATTTTTGGCGTCAGTATCTATCGATTGTAGAACACGTTATTAGTATTCTTTAAAAAAAATATTCAATGTACAGTTTCGACTTCTCTACGATTTTATTAGATGTACTTAATTATATTTTAAAAGTCGAAGTCAAAGAATTTATTTCAATTAATCGTTAATTTGCTAGATAAATTCAAAACTTTTTTCGAACTGTCAAAAACGAAAGTTTTCTATGAATTTTGTACGAGATTGTGAATTGTGACGTCACGCTTTTTTAACGGCAAACAGCGTACTTATTTGTTAAAAATTTGCTAGAAAAATACTAAAATTGAGAGTTCATAAAATCTATTAATGAAAGTGTGATTATTTTTAATATTTTATTGTATTGTGCCCAATTTAATTGTATGTGAAGCTAGGTGCGGTCGATATGTATAGATACACTGTCTCTGATCTACGTTTTTTTCTAAGATAAGCGACCAGCGCCGCACAATACCCGCAACACTAGAGAAGTCACAAGTTCGTTATCAGAGGCCTTATTACCAGTTTGTTTTACATTACAAAGGTAATCGAAACGAGACTGTATTCGGCGGTCTGATTCGTTGGTTCATTGGAGCCGGCCAATCAGAGAGCCAAACGCTTACCCGTTTCGATTATTTTTAACGTAAAAAAACTCGTAACTACTAGAAGTACAGAATACTAGAAGTACTCTGTCATAGAAGAAGAAGGCACTGATTATACTTTTGACTTTGATACACTCACCACTTTAGCTTCCTGAGCGACTTTAGCGAATCCGATCCTGTTCCTCCAGTTGAGTCTATAGTAGTGGTCTCCAAACTGTGCCTCGTACACACCACCAGGTGATATCGCCAGGGGATTGCCATTACGCAGCACTGATGCACACGTCTGCACCGTGCCCGGAATTACGCACAGACCTTCGAGGAGTGTCGCCCAACCTAGAAAAGGAAGGTATTGAAAGGTAAGGTAAGATCTTAGGGGGGGTTGGGGGGGGGTGATTCAGCAGTGGATGTCTTTTGGCTGATGAATACGATGATCATTTATATTAAGACTGCAAGTCGCAAGTGCGACTGCCGGTCGAGGGGTTTCGGGTTCGTTTCCCGGGTCGGCCAATGTATTTCTGGGTTTTAAAAAAAAATTCAGTAGTAGCACGGAGTCTGGAATTGTGCCCGGTATATGCCAATAGGCTCACCCCCTATTACATGGGACTCATAACATAAATAGTGAAAAATGGGTGCTACATTATACAGTGGCATTAAGTGCCATAATGTGCACCTCTGCCTACCCCTTCGGGGATAAAAGGCGTGATGTTATGTTACATTGTTTGATTGTAATATTATAATTGTTTGAATCATCAGTAGCACGGGCATAGCCGTATAAGAGAAGCCCGTATCCAGCAGAGGTCGGAAACAGGCTGAAATGAAGATGACGATTAAAATAGAGAAGTAATGATCAAACAAATACAAACCAGGTATCTTAAACATGAACCGGTCGGCCACAGTGTGTATATGCCGTCGCTTGAAGAGTAACATTCGGGCGATGAAGTAGTACATGTCTATGGGCAGCGCTCCGTGGTAGTAGATCACTAAGAACGGACCATCCGGTATGTTCTCCAGACCTTTTATGTCGTAACCTGCGGATAATTTATAAATAAAAGGACAATGTCTAAAAAAAATATGGAGAAAAAACGCAGAATCGATTAAAATAATTTATATGTGGTAATGTAGAGTATACATAGTATACCTATCTCACATTAAATAATTGTTTTCTAAATGTAAGGTTATTTTATTATTAATAAAAGAGATATAATTTTAATTAAAAAAAACCGGGTAACATTTTAACATGGCAACACCAAAAAAAGAGAAGCGGTTTTTGTCTTTGGAGCGGGAGACGCGGGGAAGCGGAGATTTATGGCGGCAATTTGTGGGACGAATTGCAAAGGTTAAGAGGAATTGATAAAATACAGAGTGTGAACATACGCAGTGGAAGTTTTTGTAAAGCCCTGTAATATCAACCAAGTAATAAAAAGGAAGGTAGTAGCACAGAGTCTAGAAATGTGCCCGGTATATGGCAATAGGCTCACCCCCTATTACATGGGTGTTACCTTTGTGTGCACCTCTGCCAACCCCTACGGGGATAAAAGGCGTGACGTTATGTTATGTAATAAAAAGGACTATAAAAGGACTAAAGGACTATCTGGGACTCACTTGGTATGATCTTTCCGTAGATTCAACAGTCAGTTTATTATACTGGTTTTCGTGAACAAAATCACATCGTAGTATAATAATCGTGGTAACATCTTCCCCTAAAATCTATCTCTCAACATTTTTGCAGCTTACCACCACATACATTTCTGCACTACCCAAAGGATCATTGGCAGAGAATGTTGTTAGCATTAAGTCTTCCTTATGTACCTAATTATATAAAACTTAAATCACTACATAGTATAAAACAAAGTCGCTATCCGCCGTCTGTCTGTCCCTATGTATGCTTAGATCTTTAAAACTACGCAACGGATTTTGATGCGGCTTTTTCTAATAGATAGAGTGTTAATTTTTAAGGAAGGTTTATATGTATGATATATGCATATTACACCCGTGCAAAGCCGGGGCGGGTCGCTAGTAAAAACTAGAATAGGAATAATTAATTAATCTGTTGAACTTAATAAAAATTTTCATTGTCACTCACCATGCCACAACCAGCCGTGTGCGTCCCACAGCGCGCATACGGCGAGTCGTGCTGCATGCTTCCAGTCCGGTTGTACGCCGTCCACCACGTTCATCCTAAAAACAACAAAACATAATGAATTAGAACTAGCTACTTACGCCAATGAATGGGTCGGCTCGAATGGAGTGATACCACGGACTCACAGAGAATCGGCGTTCATTCAACATTCAAAGCGTTGTGTTTAGCCTTATAAGTGAGATCTCGGAAGCCCAGTTCCTTCCCCCAGTGCTGAACTTGTGTTTCTCTCCTTCTGCAAAGCAGTCATGCTAGCTAAGGAGGAAGCGGGGCGCGTGAGTGAACGAACCTCCTCACTCCCCAGCCGTCGCGAGGGTTACTCCGGGCGTCGGGGATCGCGAGACGATCTCCGGCCTATGGACGGCACGGCACGCGCCTCAAGGAGCCATCAGACCGCCACAGATGGGGCACAACAGGGCTGATACGGAAGACTTAACGGGTTGCCGAGGCTCCGGCAACGGGGTAATCAGTAACGGGGTTGTTTTTAATCAGTAAGAGTCTGACACTCCCCTCTCGCTTCACCCGGGCGGTTGAGAAGTCATTGGAAGATTTTCAAGCCGCGCAAAAAAAAATTGTGCTTCTAGTGTTGTGCCGGCGCCGATTGCTTGCCGCCAGGTTATCCGTCTGCTCGTTTGCCATTCTATCCGATAAAAGTAAACTAAAGACTAACCTAGCATATTGAAAGTTCATTTTCCCTTAGAAAGTGATAAATCAATATGATTATGGACAAATCTGACAAATTAATATTATTGTTCTTATGTGAATCGATATAAATTTAAACCTTAGTTAAATGCTATAAATAAATGACAGTACAAACCGAATATGAAAAAAAGTTAAATTAGATACCTACTCTAGAAATCATACAGATGCTAATGAATTACCCTATTTGTAACCATTAGCCGAAAATATGGTAAAAGTTTTTTACATATTCAAATATGAAAATTACATGATTACCTAGGCAATGGAGAATTCACTCTCGACACTAACTAGTAGACATTTTAACAGAATCAACTGCACAATTTTCATAACACATTCATGAACGCAGTGTATTGATGAAATGGGAGACAAACTTGAAGGTCACCTGATGATAAGTGATCAGGGCCGCACAAGAATTCTCGCAACACAAGAGGAGTTAGAACTACAAATGCAACATTGGCCATTGTGCGGATAGGGGGATCTGGTAACCTTAACTTTTTAAACGACTGCCAAAAAAAGGAGGTTTTCAGTTTGACCTGAAAGTGTGTGTGTGTGTGAGAGGGTTTGTGTGAGGGTGTGCGTGTGTGTGTGTGAGGGTGTGTGGGTGTGTGTGTGTGTTTGTGCGCAGTTATCTTGCGATTGTCTGAAGCGATTTTGATGCGGTTTTCAGAAAAGTATTTGTTACACTTAGGAGAAGGTTGTGGTTTAATCAACCGACTTCAAATAAAAAGCGGGGTTTTGAAGACGGTTGTTTTAAACGTAGTGCATTTATAAAAGAAACATTTTGCTTTTAATTTCATTGTCAGAAATGTCGCGGAGAACTTAACGTGGACGTGCAGGAGAAGGAGCGGGGTGGTTTTTAGTCAGTAATAGTCTGACACTCCCTCCCGCGGCCCGCCTCACCCAGGCGAGAGCAGACACTCGATGATTTTCCTATCTTAAAAAAAATTGTGTCAGAAATGAAAGAAAACGGGGTTTGTGATAGGAAAAAGAAAGCGTTTCATAGGGGACAATGGAACAAGACAAGTAGCTTGAAATAAGAGCAGGAAGATAAAGATGATCCGGTCACAATCCCAACGCATGATGAACAGCGTCCAAAGGTAAATTACAATAAAAATGATAAAAAGGTAATGATTCTTATATTAATTAAAAGTCTAATTAAACTGTCTGGCAATTGTCTACGACATTATTTATTTATCATGAAAGTCGCGCTCTCATTGGCTGGATTTTATCGAGAAACTATTACTGTCACCTTGTTTTTTAATTAGGAAGCTCGTGTTGAACTCGTGTTCATTTGTTGTCAAATGAGTGGGGATGTAAACAAACTTTGCATGATATACAACTATGTATCTTATATCCGTCGGCAAAGGGTCCACATAACTTTTAACCGAAACCGGGCAATAGTGGTCTTTGGTACTCTTTTTTTGAGAGGAGAAAATCATTCAATATCTTCTCCCGCCCTGGGTCAGGCGGGAGGGAGTGTCAGACTCTTACTGACTAAAAACCACCCCGTTCCTAGTCCTGCTTTGACCTGGAGTCACGGTAACTCTTTGCATTTCGCTGCAGCCCCGGTGGTTTTTGAAACATGATCTTTCTAACCTGCTTGCCAAACTAAGCCTGAAGATGATGCCAAATCTTTCTCTTATAGAGCCTCATAGTCCAGCCACACTCTCACGGCCTGTTGATGATGATGAAATTATGTCATCATCAAGCCATTATAAATCATACGCAAAAAGCTGTCTAGTGTCTAAAGAAAAGAAAGACATTATATCAAGCACCAATCACAGTCAAGTGCAATTTTAATCTCAGTACTTAACTTACACCAGGGCTGTGCAAACAAAGGCGGTTTGTTTTTATGTGGCCCGCGACACACATTTTAATCTCAACATCTTCATCATGCGCAACAACAATAATAAAATTCAGTGTATGATTTATATGCAAGTGTTGTCTGTGAGTAAAGAATACAATGTCAAATGTCAATATATATATATATATAATTCTTCTGTGAGTATGTATGTCACTGAACTTCTCTCAAATGACTGGACCGATTTGATGAAATTTTTTGTGTGTGTTCTAGGGGATCTGGGAATGGTTTAGATTCACAAATCAGCCCGGCAGATGGCGCTGCAGTCGGTTTCTAGGTTATTTATCTATACCTATTATTACAGGATAACGTCTGTCGGGTCCGCTAGTGTCAATATACAACTGAAAATATTTTTCTGTCCCTCCTGTTTTTTAAGAAATTTAATTAGCCCGCGAGTTTGGACAGCCCTGAATTACACCATCAATTTTGGAGAAACGTGTTTTTTGAATTATGAATTATGGGACGGCAAAAAGACTAACGAGATTTTGGAGCCAGTTTTCATTTAAATTCAAGGGCAAACTTATTTTTGGCTCGAAAGCCGACGTCGAGATACTTATGCAATTTTCATGAGATGCACGCGATAATGTACCTAATATAAATTACTATGGACTCGTAAAAAATTAGGGCCGTAAGCGAAATGAGATCGATGTTCATGAAAAAGAATAAAAAATGTGTGAGAAACATAAAAGGAGGTTTTGGTATTAGTAAGTTGCTTTATTTGATTTTTGTGAGATGCTATCTCCGATAAGTATTGGGTTAGAATCGAGTCGCATATTTTGCCTTTATTTAGGGTGTAAGTTGGTCTTGCTCATAATAAATTACAGGACACACCTGATAAATAAGAGGTAGTGCTAACACTAGCAATACCTACACAGGCTTTCACCCGCGGCTTTACCTACGTGAATATGTTAACCTATGCCGAAATAATATTCTCCGAACACCCAACCCAACCATATTTATGTATATCATACCACGTCTATGAAGATTAGTTGAGCAAATACAGCACAAACATATTTTCGTATTTACAATATTAATCAGGACAACTTAATTAAGGTAAATGTTTATTATCTGTGTTTTTATAAGTAGTTTCATGCGGCAACACAGTGATTGTTGATTGGCACAGTTTAAATGTTCGTCTCCATAACATTATAAGCAAAGACCTCTACTCTGTGATAACTTTAGCTGTTTTTATTCGTTTTATATAATTTCAATGGCTGAGGTAATGTTTCTTCGTTGTTACTTGAAAATCTGGTAATTTATTTATTCACGAATAGAAAATACCATTCTACCTTTTGGACTTTAAAAATTGCAGACAAAGAAAAGCGTATAACAGAAAGCCACTATTTCGTGATTTTGATTTGCTGACGCTCTCCCAGCTTCATCTCTCTATTGATGATTAAATCAAAATCTGAGCAGCAACTGAGCACCGAGTTTAATTGTTCTTGTCTATAGGAATTCAACCAACGAACAAATCTATTATTTCTATTTATTATTTCTCTGACTTTAAAAAGTACATTTTTTAATCCTTACTAATATTATAAATGAGAAAGTGAGTTTGTTTGTTTGTTTGTTTGTTCAGACTTCACGCCGTAACTACTAAACCGATTGCATTGAATTTTTGCAGACGTAAAGTTAGTAGTCTGGATTAAATAATAGGGTACTTTTTATCCCGAAAAAATTTGATATTCCCGAGGGAAAACAAAAGTATTGGTATAGATGGCGCTGTATGTATTGGTATATGTCACATAAGCTACTTTTTATCCTTTTGTGACGCGAGCGAAGCCGCGGGTAAAAGCTAGTCACAAATAAATAATCTTTTAGCAATGAAATTCAAGTGTGAAGGCTGAAGAGAACCTTACGCTGCTCATTAATGTTTTTTTACGGGATAAGACGGTAATCCAGCAGTCGGATCACCTGATGGTAAGCAATCAGTCGCCCATGGATACCTGGATCACCAGAGGCGTTACAAGTGCGTTACCGGATTTTGGGAATTAGGAATTTGAAGATTGTTGGGGATTCAGGGATTAGGGAGATTGGGGAAGGTGAGGGGGTAATTGGACCTCCGGTAACTTCACTCACACGACGAAACACAACGCAAGCGTTGTTTCATGTCGGTTTTCTGTGAGGCCGTGGTATCACTCCGGTCGATCCGGCCCATTCGTGCCGAAGCATGGCTCTCCCATACTTAAACATGTGTGTGTATGAATGTGTCTCTGTGGCACTTGAAACTTATAGAGCTTGTCTCGAATAGTCAACGTGAATAAGTCACACACACATATTACATACTTCCACGCGGTTTCACACGCTCTGCTCAGCTCCTATTGGTCGTAGCGTGATGTTTTATAGCCTATAGCCATTCTCGATAAATGCGCTATCCAACACAAAAAGAATTATTCAAATCAGAGTTGTAGTTACGGAGATTAGCGCGTTCAAACAAACAAACAAAAAAAACAAACTCTTCCGCTTCATATAATAATTAGTAAGTAATTAGCTCACCAATTTTAAAATTACCAATAAATTAGCTCACCTGTAAAGCCGGTAGAGATGGAAGATGATGGCACTGATGTAGATGAGGACGATGATGACGGCTGGCAGTAAGAAGGTGACGATGACCGGCATCAGGAACCACGTCAGCCATAGACTGTACTCTGTGTCCACATACTCCACTGTTGACAAAGATAATGGGGATATTATTTATCACGATAGTAAATTAATATAAGTATACCTACTATAAAGAAAGTGGATAAAAAATTAAATCAATGCAAAGAATTTATTAAGACTGTCCAGCCTTCTCGTTGGTGGAGTGGAAGAAATAACATTTGAGTGAGCACGATTGTCAAGTGGGTGTAATTAATAAAATCGTTTATTAAAACACAAAAACTTCCAAAAGATGTAACAGTAGTCCAATTATTTTATAATTACAGTAAATTATAAATACTAATAGGTAATTTATAAAAACAATTTACATTGAAATAATCAAAGATAAATTTAGGATGAGTATAATTAGGTATTTTTTTTTATTGTAGCGTCCCGCCTGAGGTAGGTTTCAGTAAAAACCTGTATTTCAGGCCAGGATTTGTGGACATGAATTTTTGGTGAACATTTCGTGTTGGTGTGCAATCCTAGTATAAAAAAATTATGTAAGATTGTCAAAACCATTAATATTGAAAGATAGGTATTTATTTTAGAATAATAATTATTTTCGACGACATCTCGCGTTTACAAACATGATTAGATACAGTTTACATCATTAAAACTGAAAATTACTGTTTCTTTCTTTGTTTGGATCACAAGGATAATCTTCCGAAAAACACCTATAGGTTTAATGATTATTTATTCACTCATAATGAACATGGTCCACTTACAATGAGCTTAAATGAATAATTATAGAAAGTTGTGACCAAACGGTATTAATAATTATTTTTAGATACATATTTTCTTAACCTATTTTTAAACATGACAATCTTTATACATCTTTTACCGTAATTTGTTATCAATGGGGCATTAAGCGCTAATATTATTGCATGACCATCTAACAATAAATCTTAGAAAATAATAAAAATTGCTGTTTCATAACACTTAGGCATAACTCCAAGGAAACGAGAAGACCTTGCCTAATCCAATAATTGCCATAATCGCAAATAAATGTACATACAAAGCACATCAAGGTACTCTTGCGTGTCTCTCCATGTTCGTTTTTCAACCATATTGCTATTAAATAAAGTTTTGAATTCTTTCAAAAAGTTTTGTATAGATTGATGTGCGTTTACAGGTTCTCAAGCAATTTGTTCGGATATTATCTTCGGGTATTCTTTGTTTTTACAATAGGCTTGTAATTTCATAGTTTTTTTAGACAAAGTACTACCTACTAGTTCTTTAAACAACAAAAAACGGTCAAGTACGAAGACGATTATTATTTTTCTTCAATATATGGCTGAATGCTGAATTATTGACGACTAAACTCAGTAGAATATTGCACGATAAGGAAATTACGAACATAACAATAATTATATGGACTAGCCTAGGTAACTAATCTAGACCTAACAAGATAAGTATTAAATCATAAGGTTAAGTCAACCCTATAAATTAAAGATTACACTTCGAGATAAAAACACCAGAGGCCGTACTAAATCACAGTCCCTAAAAAATATACAACAGTCTGGATACCACAGATAAAAAATTCCAGAGACTAAAGTCCAATACCCAAGTCCCTTTTATTTATCAACGACAATGAACTCAATATCATTACACGAATAGAATCGATATCAACAGGATACGTGATAGTTGATACTGGACACAGAAAATAAATGACATTATTTTTTACAATCATGGCGGGACATCCGGGTTTTATCAGCGTCTATGAACCGTCTGCTTGCGAACGGCCACTTATTCTAAAGTATACTTTAATGATGTAATATTAAGGTTTGGTATTTATATGGCGTTTATTTCGATGCACTATTGGCACGGTGACCCGAGCACGCAGAGCGCATGCGTCGCGCATCGTTTCCCGCCTTAACATGACAGCTATGTTTATTTGTTTTACTTATCTGTGGCAATTATAACGATTTCCTAATATAATGATTATTTAATATGTTTATGTAAATGATTTGTTTCAAGGGCGTCGAACTTATTTTACTAAGTTACTGTTGCTTTACTTTCATTAACGTGTTAATGAAAAACAAAATATAATACAGTATACAGTACAGGGTCATTAACTTTTTTTTGTAACTTTTTAAAAAAACAACGATGAATAATAAGTAGCCCAGAGTACACAGACGTCTCCCTGACCGATTTTCCGTGGTTATACCCACTGAAAATAATTTATTTTATTCGTACCGACGTACAAAGTCAGATACTTTTGGTGTATTTAGTTAGAATTTTAGATGAAGACGCCGAGTCACGTCTTTGATCGGTACTAAAGCGGTATGAATACCTACTTTGTGGCGTTTAGAATAATTGGGTAGTTTCCAGGGTATCAAAATTAAAAATGTAATTAGTCCGTCAGTTAGATAACGAAAAAATATTAAGACATGTATTTTTTTTTATTTTCTCGTATTAAGTTGCAATAGGTACTTAAATAAAATGGCGCAGTTTAGGAGTTAGAGGTCGTTACGTCATAACGTGCTACAAAATATGACACGCTGTGACGTCACACGATATTTCAAATTAATATATCATTGAAAGTATTTAATATTGTGAGCAAAGAAAAAATACGTGTCTAATGTTTTAAATTAATGTATCAGACGGAGATTAAAATAAAATTTAGGAAACTACCCTATTGTGAGAGTGGAAATTAAAAAATATATTTAAAGTGCATTAGTGCAATACAAGTGCATAGTGTATACAAACACATGGGGCACTGACAGATAGTCATAGTATAGGTAATAATAACCGATAACCGTGGCTTAGACATTGATTATAGAAATAAGGGCTTCCGATAACGCATAGATGTACAATGATAAGAAGTAATTGTAAGAAAAAAATATTTTTATACCTATCAAAGGTAAATTAGTAGACATTTTCAATATTTTACTACGTTGCACAAACTCACTGCCAGACTGATGCTTAACGAACTTCTGAAGTTTCAAATGAGAATTATTCTTGTTGCACGTACGTATGACGTGTGTGTGATATATAGTCAATATTAAAAAAACACTTAGTAAATGCGAATTGTAGGTTATTAGACGTTATTAGCACAACATTTCAAACATTGTACTTCTATGCGTTCTAGATTTTAGCACAAACCATAAATACTAAAAGGGTTTCTAAGACCACAGAGTTTGGCAATGCAAATAACGGAATCAAAAAGTTGGTCAAACAATAAAAATCTACTGGATCCTCCAATAAATGCTAATCTGACAACACGGTTAGTGCGGTGGCTGGGCAAACGTGTGATTCCCGCACGGAGCAACTTTGTGTGATCCACAAATTGTTGTTCTGGGTCTGGGTGTCAAGTGTATGTGAACTTGTATGTTTGTAAAAGCACCCACGGCACAGTAGAAAATCCTAGTTTGGGGCAACCTTTTTTTTAACAAACAAAAACAATGTCAATGTCATTCACGCAAAAACAGTTGAACAAATCTGAACGTTTGGTACAGATATATAGGCATAGAACTATAGACTTCTAAAGTAATACATAGAATATACATAGAAGACACTGGCATAATCCTTACTAATATTATAAATCGGAAAGTGAGTTTGTTTGTTTGTTTGTACCGCTTTCACGCCGTAACTACTAAACATATTACTTTATACCGATTTGAACATATGACTGCACCGTTGGTGCGGTGGCTGGGCAACCGGCTGCCGTGCAACGTGTCGCGGGTTCGATTCCCGCACGAAACAACACTTTGTGTGATCCACAAATTGTTGTTCCGGGTCTGGGTGTCATGTGTATGTGAATTTGTATGTTTGTAAACGCACCCACGACACAGGAGAAAATCCTAGTGTGGGGCAACGTTTTTTCAAAAAAAAAAAAAAATTTTTGTAGATGTAAAGTTAGAAGTCCGGATTAAATAATAGGGTACTTTTATACCGGAAAAATTGATATTCCCGAGGGAAAACAAAAGTAATGGTATAGATGGCGCTGTGTGTATTGGTACATGTCACATAGGCTACGTTTTATCCTTTTGTGACGCGAGCGAAGCCGCGGGTAAAAGCTAATAATAAATAGTAGATAGTTAATTATGATATTTGACTAAATTAATGTATGACTGCGATGGTATGATATTAATGAATAATGATGTATGGTATACTTAGATATTAATTAATTTTATGTATCTCCGAAACAAATTTTTATTTTATTTTAATTTTATAAGCTTGTATAACTATAATCTAGTTTTTGCATGTCGATATGCAATAAAGCTTCCATTACTCGACTAAGTAATTTTCTGGTTACAAAAACAACTAAGAAGTTAGCATGTTGAATGAAGATTTAACGATCATGCAAGCATGCATAAACGCATTTAGCCTTGAAAACCAGTTGCAAGTGGTATTATTTTTAAAGCATCGAGAGCGAAATTCGATTGTCCAAAGAAAGTTTCGCACCACCGAAAATGAACATGTTTTTGAATGAATTTTATTTTAATTTGGAAAAATTAAAAAGGTTTGTGTAAGGTGGGATAAGTGCTCTTTTTACGTAAAGCCCGCGCTTCCAACCGAGCTGCAACTACTTGTAAGCTAGAATCTACAGTACATATCAAATAGAAAAGCACTGGGCCAGTAAAGCATGTATCCCCCTCCTAAAAACATGAAAAAGATAATGTTCTAAGTGTGGGAGTGCCATGCTTCGGCATGAATGGGCCGGCTCTACCGGAGTGATACCACGGCCTCACAGAAAACCGACGTGAAACAACGCTTGCTCCCCTTCCCCAATCTCCCCAATTCCTGAATCCCCAACGATCCTAATCTCCAAAAGGCCGGTAACGCACTTGTAATGCCTGTGGTGTTCCAGGTGTCCATGGGCGGCGCCGATTGCTTACCATTAGGTGATCCGTCTGCTCGTACACCGGGTATGCCATAAAAAAAATTTCAACAGAATAGGTAATTCTCAAGTATTACTGAGAAGAACAAAGGCAATATATCAAAAAATCCTTTACCCTTTGAAAATATGTTGGACATAAATTAAGAAACTTGTCACAAACACTCATTAAACAAAAATATACAT